GGTTGTCTCTTCTTCTCTTTGAGAATTGGTCACCCCTGACGGAGAGATATCCCACCATATATCCCATAAGCGGGGATTATACCGCTGTGTGCGCTTTACCTCAGAGCTGGATATAAGCTCTCGCAAATGTGAGTTTTCCATCTTTATCTCTTACTACGTCTTAATTTGAATCTGACATACTGCACCATTGGTTGTCCGTCTTTTTTCTCTTCCATATAAAGAGGACCCACTATTGTATTCGAAGAATCAACCACTTTACCAGCCTTCCACAAAGACTATTCGTAAGGACACACTATCTGGACTTTTTTATTTCCGTTTTTATTTTATTTTATTTTGGCTTTTATTCGTTTTTTACTTGGCGCAGCCCTTTTTACTGTTATTTTTATTCATCTTGTTTTAAGGGTATCTTGAGGGATTCCCCTTTAAGGGTCGCTGCCTTAAGTTGATCAGCGCTGTCTCATCCATTTACCTCTACAACTGGTGGCCAACATGGGGCTTTGGTACTTTGGAAGCTTTAACTATACAATAATATATATACTTAGGTAAGCTTGTGTATGTAAGAGAAGACACAATAGTTTGTCATGGCACAAGTCTTGAAATATCAAGAATCTAATGAGCTATTTGCAGCCCAGACACAGAGAGAGATCATCATGGAGAGAGGATTTTACATGAACTTGTACAAGACACTTGGAGTTCAGGTGCTAGGTACACTGTAATTGGCATTGTGACAGTAGTCACCATCACCTGGACCTTCAGACAGACTATTTATGTAAGTTGTTGGACTTTTCTAATATTTTGATCACCCTGTACCCATTATAGGTACAGGGTGTGTGTAATGTAATTGTTTATAATGTGTGTGTATACTGTTAAATGTTTTGCCTGCTCTCTTGTACTGCTGAGGATTGCTACCAACTAGGTGGATTTGGCTATGGAGCCTGTGTAGTGCCCTCTGTTGGTAGCCACAGCAATGTGCACTACCTGAATAGCAAGGCTGGTTAATTTGCATATTCAGGTAGATTTGCATATTGCTATTTCTGCAGGCAGGAGAGATGTTTTACATTAATTATTGTCTTTCCCACCTCTTTATAAATATGTCATTATGCTAATTTAAGTTCCTGTATGTTGTCTAATGTGATTTGACAGTTTGTATATTTATTGAGTTGTCACAGCAATCTTCCTTGTCTTCCCTCCCATGGCCACTGTGGCAAACCTAGCCACTTGGACAAGACAGAGAGACTATGGATTTAAGGGTTGCCTGTGTAGTTCTTGTAATGTTATATGTTCCTGAGTGTAATGTACTGTGACCATATGCTTGCATTGCCTGTTTGGCTATCTGCCGAAAGCAGATAGCTGTATTTCATTTCGTTTCATGAACAGCGCCTTTGCGGGCTGTTCGTGAACCGAATAAACTAACCTGTAATAGCCCACACATTAAGAGACGTGTGGCGCTTGTTAACCGATTGCAACATTGTTGTAATTAGAGGCTCTCCTAGGTGGCCGTCATTCGACTACCGACCACGCGACGGTCGGCCATTTTGGATCCTTTGTTCCTCCAGCGGTGTTCGGTCGTCGAGCGCGTGGTACTGAAAACGGCTACTCGACGGCGCGAACACCGCTGGACTTCCAGGCCGTTCGGAAGTTCCGGGCCTTTCGGTACTTTACTCCCCGTATGTCAATCGGTCTTTTGAATATATGTGTTGGTGAATATGTTTTTCGTGCGGCGTTCGGTTGTTTTAGCTGGGATCTGAGCAGTAATCTCACGAATTATGTGCTCAGACCCCAGCTATCTACCGAATGTCCATTCGTGTAAATCACCCCAATATTTGGAAAGTTATATATTTTTATGTGAAATGCCGGTTCTGCTGCACGGAGGGATAATCCACTTAACTGTACATTCCAGTGGGAGGGTCCCTCTCGTGCAGCAGTGCCTGATGGGAGAAATGCTCTGTACATTAAGTTTCCCATGTAGTCCACTCCTGTAATACCCCTGTGATGTGACTCAGGAAACCCCTTGCATGGGGAATTGTATAAATACTGGAGCATGTGAATAAAGCCCTCAGTTGACTCCCAGAACTGTGTTTCGTCCGGTTACTGGGGGATTTGGGATATTGTCTTACTTTTCAGCGCTGACTGTGGATTACTGTATGTTCCAGCGCAATTCGTGGGAATTAATATTGCCGATCCACTACAGCCACAAGAGTGCAGAGTGTCTGTCTGTCTGCAGAGCAGGCCAGCCACATCCCCTTTCCCTCTGCTTGCAGTGCCAGAGGAGCATCTGGCCTGATTGAGAAGAGAAGAGCAGGGCTGGAACTGGAGGATGGGCAGCTCATCATAAGGTAGAGGAAGAGGGGCTTGGGGAACCTTACTGTGCAGTGTTAAATTGGGTAGGAAGGCTCAGAGTATTTTTAGGGAGGGAAGGGGGGGCAGTGTATTAAATTGGAGGAGAGAGGGCTGTTTATTAAATTAAGAGTGGTGAGAGTAGGGGAAGTGTATTTAATTAGAGTGGAGGGAGCAGGGGCAGTGTATTAGATTAAGGGACAGTCTATTACATTGGATTTGGGGAAATGTATTGAATTTGTGGTCAGTGTATTATAATGGGGGGAGGGAATGCTGTATTAGATTGGGTCTGCATGGAGGCACTTAACGTTCCCCATGGAGATGCTGATTGGCTGCACAGCTTTTTGCCATACATGCACAATAGCCTCCCAATGCTTTCCTCTGGGAAAGCATTGGATTGGCTGAGATCGTCAAGTTTGTGGAAAACGTTTGTGGGAAAGAGCATTTGTCACACCCACCAACTCTGGAGGCTCTGTGGAATCAAGCCCATCCATAGTTTCCCATATCACCCCAAGTCCAATGACCTATGCAACCAGTTCAACGGGATTCTGAAACAGATGATTTAGACTTCTGTGGCCACAAGCAAGAATTGAAAGCATTTCCTGCTTGTCTACAGCCTGCTTGTCTACCATCTGAGGGGGCCCCTAGACCTAGCTAGACCTAGTTAGGGAACACTTGGAAGGGATAGTCAGCCAAGATGGGACCACTATAGTACCATATGTGCTAGAGCTAAAGGACCACCTGGACAGACTGACCCGGGTAACATGAGACAAACCTGGTATTATAGGGGAGCCAGGGATTGCAGCTTTCAAGTTGGCCAGAAAGTCCTTGTGCTTAAACTGGTCTGACACAATAAACTCAAGGCCTTGTGGCAGGGCCTTTAACAGGTGGTAATAGCCCCATGCTTTGGGAATGGGGATCGACACATGAGCCATAACCGATGCTACAGGTGGATGGCCAGGGAAGGTACCTCACTACGTTTGATTTATGCAAGGGCTATTGGCAAATTCCCCATGGCTAGGATTCCATTCCTAACTCTGCCTTCATCACCCCATTCACAAGTTCAGAGATGTTGTTTGAGATAAAGAAAGCCCAGCTACCATCAAACGGATGTGGACCGGCTCCTCGATGGCCTCCAGGATTATACTTGTGCATACCTGGACATTGTGATCTTCAGTGCCACCTGGGAAGCACACTTAAAACAAGCCCACATGTATGTCTTGGACAGAATTAGGAGCTCTCGAAAGACCCTCAAGCCCAGCAAATTGTAAGAAATTGATATGCAAAACTGCAATATTATATATAACTTTCTGTGCAAGTGACTTGTTTCACAAGTTGGGGTCATTTACTTGATAACAGTGTGATAAGGATCAAAGCTTTCAGTTGCATTTTACAGCACCCAGCTAAAACAAAAGCTTACATCCCTCCAGCAGTTTTCCTGCCAACCAGTTTTCCATGCATGTTATCAGAAGATTAGAGTAATGAACATCTAGATGTTACCATGGAAGTGTGTGTTTTCCCAAGCCAACCTGTCCAACCTACCCAAAACCAACCCTAACTGGTCACATCTCACACAATGTTACAGTAAAACTGGAGGGAAGAGATGAAAGGGAAAGACTTGTGTAAAGACAGAACCGTCTGGAAAAAGAGGGTGGGATAAACCACTTTTGGGAGGGAAAAGGGATTCTGGGACTTGTAGTGAATTACTGCATGAATCAGTCTTTAAAGGACAACAGCCAAGGAGGTTCTCTCTCTCTCTCTCTCTCTCTCTCTCTCTCTCTCTCTCTCTCTCTCTCTCTCTCTCTCTCTCTCTTTGTCTGTTTTGGAGAGAACAGCGCAGCAAGCACAGGAGACTGTCCCAGATTACTACCAAGATGAAGGCGCAAGGGGAAGACCTCCATTTAAATGTTTAAGTATTGCCCTTTTACTATTTATCTTTTAGTTATGTACTGGGTATAATGTATAATGTGTATATCCTTTTAAAATCTAACAGTATCCTTAAATTAATATTTACAATACATTTTATTAAACACGTGTGTCTGTGTCTTATTTGTCACACATTCCCTAAAAGAATACCCTTGTAAGAGGGTTATAATTTCTTACAAAGTGCCACAGAGGGATGGCAGAAGTGCAGTATTTAGGGCTGTGGGAGAATGAGACCAGAACCAGCCAAGATAGGGACAAAGTAACCTCTAACTATAGTTCCCTCACCAAGCCCCTCACCCCTGACAAAAAAAAAAGAGTCTTCACAAAAAGTAGTGTGAGCAGGCTTTCCAACAACTAAAAGCCCTTATAAATACTCCTGGCAGATTCCAATCCAACTAAACAATTTCTTGTTACAGGCACTTCTATGTTTGGATTGGGATCAGTGCTGAGCCAGGTCGATGAAGACATCGGTGAACATTCCGTAGAGTATCTAAGCCAAAAACTGCTACAGAGGAAAGAGAGCTACACTTACGTCAAGAAGGCGTGTCTTGCCCTGGTGTAGGCCCTTAAACAATTGCAGCCATACTTGCATAGACAACTGTTCTCAAGGATCTCACAGTATCCTTCTAAAGAAGCCTTTTTGTGCCGAAACGCTTTGTGTTATTCTACTACATTGTATCAACAAACCTGTGAGACCTCAAGGAAGGGTGAACACCACTAAAACATTCATTTTGTGGTTTCATAATTGCATTGTATTTTTATTCTCTTTGATTATCGATGTGTAGATAGATCTCGCCAGTAAATTCATAAAGTAACACAAAGTTGCAGTAACATTATTTTAACTGATTTTTTTTTAATGTACTGAAAGTTTTAAATGCAACATTGATAATAATTGTTTAATGACTCTGGTGTCAATTTGATTATTCTCAGTCTTCCTTTTTTTCTGAAGTACTATGATGTAGATTCAGTGTTGTTGCAGAATAGACGTCTCTTTCTGCACAGATCTTTAAATGCCTATCCTGATCCTGGTCTTCTTGCAGCATATAGTAGTATCTCTGGTGTTCCAGGTAAGTTGTGAACAACTTCGCATATTCTGGATTCTTCAGTGAAAATATCTTAAACTCATCTGAAATTAGACAAATTACATTAGTTGAACATAATTAAATACACGTAAAGTAAAGTTAAAAAGTACTAACAGTGGTTTAAAAATACATATTTAAAGAGTTATTCATTAAACCGAGAGTTTGAAGTGAATTTCAAATGTAAGGTAAATCTGAACTGGAAACATTCTCTAAGTAAGCTATGCTTTCAGTTTGACTACTCTAGTCTAATTTGAAATTTACATTAAATTCACACTTTAGTAAATAACCCTGTTTACTATAGCTATGACATATACAGATATCCAGGTCAAATGGGAGTAAAACTGCTGCATAGTAAATTTGTTATAACTATAACTAAGTGTGTCTTTCAGGACCTAATAAAAACTATTCCTAAAATCTCCTTAGCTACATTAGTGCCATTCTGGCTTCCCAATAAAAAATGGATGCACACATACCAGTCAAGTCTTGGGAGGAGCAGGTCTCACATTATGGTAGAAAATGGCAGTCTTTTGAAATGCTAAATGTTATGCATCGTTCTTGCTATGCAAGTCTTTACAAGGTTAATAATATTTCTTCAGCTAAACATATCAGAATAGAAAGAGAGCTAGGAAGCCCCGTAAGTGAAATAACACCAATCTTTGGTTTCAGGAAAGTGTCATAGTGAAAGGATGAATGAAGTGCATGGAAAGTATAGAAATGTGTGAACGTGCATAGACAGATTGCTATTGTGGCGAAACCGACCTCGCCACTGGGCATTGGAGAAGACTGATTGCCAGCCTCCTGCCATCTGACTATGGCCCCTGGGATGTATTGCCCTTTAAAGACATTATTTGGGCTTATTGGATTTTAAAACACTTTTTCTGCCCCTTTGAATACATGAGAAGGTGTGCCCCTCCCCATTTCCTGTCTATTGTTCTCCAGCAGGGTGTTGTCCCAGGGACACTGCCAGACCAGTTGGAACCTGTTGCTATGGTTTAACCCACGGCGATTTGACTGTGTTTGTGGTATTTGAGCACTGTTCGGATATAGTGAGCGCTCAGATCCAAGCTTGAATGTGGGGGTTCTGTTAAGTATAATAGGAATTATGTATTTTTATGTGTTTTACTGTTGTTGTGACTAGAGCTATTTTCTGTATGCTGGAGGTAATTGGCTTAGCACACCCAAGCCATGCTTGCAGATGGTCACAAAGGGACTTCTAACTAACTTTTGACCCACTGAACCAATTTGTATGATTTTGACGTATGTTTGTATTTGGAGTATGCAATTTCTGAAATGTAAGTTTTATGTGAATGTGATGTATACTTTTAGTTATGAATATTGTGTAAAACTGTGTATTTTCCTGCCTGTGATAATTACATTAATTGTGTTCAGTAATTATATCAGGCAGAGGGGAGGATTTTGTGTGGGAGTGTCTGAGTGTATTGTACATATTGATTGGTTGTTCTGCAAAACCCTGTGGGCAATACTATGTGTGTAAAATGTGCATAAAAGCAGAGTGTTTGATTAAAAGCTTCAGTTCTACTTCACCCTCAATTTGGAGTGCCGTCACTTATTGGGGGAATCTGCTACAAGGGATTGCTATGCTTGTCATACTCCCTTGCTAAATCACTACTAAGCTCTTGTAAGAGCTTGTTCCTGCCTTGCTCCCTGGAGGAGTCCACGGTGGTTATGGTGTCTGCTGCAGTGCTTGGAGTCCTCAGGAAGCGCTAGGAGCATCCTTCAATTGAGGTATCCAGTCGGGGTGCCCGTTGATGCGTTACAGCTATGTTAAAGTGACATGTTAATGATAGAACATTGTGGCTGTAATGCATTAAAAGTGGCAGTATGCGTATATCTATACAAAAAAGTGCTAGAATAAGCATAAAGTGCCTAATAATTGAACTATTTTCAGAAAAAGTGACAAGTGCGGATACTATACATATGTGTCAGTTAATATAAAATATATTCCATATAATTTCTATAAAAAAACATAATTGTCAAAAAAGGGTATCAACATTTCTGCTAGTGTGGTATTTGTCCTAAACATTACATTAATTGCATTGAGATATCACTGCAGAAATTATAGGGCATGGTTTTCAAAGTACAGGGATTAAACCTTACTTACCATTAAATACTGATAAGAGGACATTTTTCATTATCACATTTGTTAATAGTTAGCGCTATACAGAAAATATATAATGTACCCTTTCTCCACTAAACTTAAAAAAATAAAAATAATTGCAAGCAAGACTGAACTATGCCTAACAAGTATTTTATCGCATACTTTTACAAGAAGGAGTAAAAAGGAATGAGGTCGTTAAGTCCCTTTGAAGATATGGTGCCCAGTTCGTGGATCCAAAAGGCCTCTATTCAATAGAATTTTGCCTCAGTCACAACCTCTCTTCAGTAGTGGTATATGATCAATGCCTACAAACATCAAGGTTGACAGCGGATGGCCAAGTTGTAGATAATGTTTTGCAAATGGTTTATCTGATGTTCCATCTCTGTAGGCTAATCTAATACTAGACCTATGTTCCCTGATCCATTTGCATAGAGCTGTCTCAGTCTTTCCAATATAAGAAAGGCCACAGGTACAGGTCAGTTTATAAACCACATGAGTGGTCTAACAAGTGATGGTATATTTAATCAGATATTTTTTGTTGGTATGAGGGTGGTTGAACGTATGGGCTGGTAACATGTGGCCACATGTTACACAGCCTAAGCAACATTCTGAACCACGATTTTGAATGCCTTTCTAATGGTGTGGACACAGGAGTGTATAGCTATTGATGGGATCTGTATGAACAAGTAAGTAAGTTTTTAAGATTCTTGTTTCTTTTATAACAAAGTAATGGAGTCTCTTTGAAGACTTTTGGAAGCATGTCATCACTTCAAATCTGCCAGTTTTGCCAAATTATAGTGGCGATTTGTGGGGTTGTATGTTGGAATTCCATTGGAAACACTAATCTTGATGGGCTTGCATCTTTCTTACAAAAGCGGACACTCTGTGCTTCCTTAAGTGCTTTCTTGTAGAACATCTTGCTTGTAGCCTCTCTCCAAGAATTTTGTAGTCATTTCTTGCAACTGGACTTCCATGGTTTCATCATTGTAGTGGTTCCTGATGTCACGCATGTACTGCGCCTTTGGGAGGGAATCCTTCAAAGCCCTAGGATGGGTACCTTGGTGCTGTGATCCATAGGTTTAGAAAACAGACTAGATTCAATTTTAGAATTTCCAAAGGGTAATCTGGCGGGCTAGATAATGGACTTGCTTCGTTTGGATATTAGCTGTCAGTCTGATTGGTCAATCTAATTGGTCAATCTGATTGGCTACCAACTGGTTCAAACTTGATACCATATACTCAGCTTCTTCTTGAGTACCCTTCCATAGGACCAGCAGATCATCAATGTAGTGAAAGTATCCCTGGATGTTATGGCAGTACTCCCACAGAATAAATTTGCATACATTGGTGCCATTGCGGAACCCATCAAGGTACCTGCTGCTTGAAGATGCCACTGATTTTCAAATCTAAAGTAATATTTGTGAATGGTCAATGTGAGGAGTTCTAGGAAAAATCAATGGGGGAACTTTGATACTTTGTAGAATGTGTTAACACATATCGCATTGCTTCTACCCCTTCATCATGAGGAATGACTTGCAACATCCATGGTCATGGGCGTCTGCAGGGGGGGGCACTTGCCCCCCCCCTGGATTTTTCAGCTTGTTCTGATATTTTTCGTGTGAGATTTAAAATGAACTGCAATACCGGCGCCGGCCAGTAGGTGTGTATGGAGAGAGACAGGGATAGGAAGCTGCATCTTATCCCTGCTTCTCTCTGCTGATTGAAACCGCAGGGGAACAACACATGCAGCCAGAGACAGCCTACAGATCAGGTAAGTTGGGGGAGGGTTTGAGATAGCCTATAGATTTTTTGGGGGGGGGATGCAGCAGCCTATAGATTTGGGAGGGGCAGCAGCCTATAGATTGGGGAGGGGCAGCAGCCTATAGGTGGGGCAGCAAGCCTGTAGATTGGGGAGGGGCAGCAGCCTATGGGTGGGGGCAGCCGGGGGCAGCAGCCTATAGATTGGGGGGGGCAGCAGCCTATAGATTGGGGGGGCAGCAGCCTATAGATTGGGGGGAAGGAGTCAGCAGCCTATAGATTTGGGGGGGGCAGCAGCCTATAGATTTGGGAGGGGCAGCAGCCTATAGATTTGGGGGGGGCAGCAGCCCATAGATTTGGGGGGTGGCCACCCAGTAACTCCACAGTATGTCCCCAGATGGTTCTTAAAAGGTCTAGCAGCAGCACAACACAAATCCATTATGCCCAAATCATGTCTTTAAAGGGCAATACATCCCAGGGGCCATAGTCACATGGCAGAAGCTTCCGGCTACTCGCACTGCTACCGTGTCTCCAGTATGTTGTGTCTCGGACACCAAGTGCTTCTGAAGTAATGTCATGGTTGCACTGGTATCCCTCAGACCACTGACCTCCTTGCCGTTGACTTTGACAAATTGCCAGTGGGGCTGTCGGTTATCCCGGTGAGCAGCTTGGACAGGGTCTGCCTCATGCAGGATGCCCCAGCATTCCTCTTCCTCTGCGCAGTGGGCAGCTGGGGGAGGGGGTCATTGATTTCCGCTGGCTGGTCTCCTCCAAGACTGGGCCTGGTTAGCACTGTTCAGCGGGCACTCCGGTCGCTTGTGCCCTAGGTGCTTGCACCCAAAACATCTAATAGGTTGGGAGTAGTCTCGTGAGTTGAAGCGGGGCGACTGCTGATAATGGTTAGATGGAGCGGGTGCTGACGGCCGGTTGGTATACGGAAGGGGCTGGTCGGTACTCCACTCCACTCTGGCAGGAGTCTTAGCACTGTCCAGTTTACGGGCATCCGTGTACTCGTCCGCCAGGTGAGCTGCTTCATGCAGAGTGGAGGGTTTACGGTCTCTTACCCACTCTCTGATGCCTGGGGATAATTTTTCAAAGAAGTGCTCCAACAGGATCATTTGCCCGGATACAGCTTCCCCGGATACAGCTTGGCACCCCGCCATCCAGTGGGCAGCTGTGCGGTGCACTTTACATGCCCATTCAACATAAGAGTCCCCAGCATGGGCGTCCGCAGGGGGGGTAAGGGGGGGGCACTTGCCCCCCCCTGGATTTTTCAGCTTGTTCTGCTATTTTTTGTGTTATTGAAAATGAACTGCAATACCGGCGTCGGCCAGTATGTGGCGCTGTGTATGGAGAGAGACAGGGATAGGAAGCTGCATCTTATCCCTGCTTCTCTCTGCTGATTGAAACCGCAGGGGAACAACACATGCAGCCAGAGACAGCCTACAGATCAGGTAAGTGGGGGGAGGATTTGAGATAGCCTATAGATTGGGGGGGAGGGGGCAGCCTATAGGATTGGGGCAGCAGCCTATATTGGGGGAGGGGCAGCAGCCTATGGATTGGGGCAGCCCTATTGGGTGGGTGCAGCCTGAGGGGCAGCAGCCTAGCAGCCATAATTTGTAAAGCAGCCTACTTGGGGCAGCAGCTAGATTTTTTGCAGGTGGGATTTTTTTGGGCAGCAGCCTATAGATTTTTTGTGCAGCCTAAGGAATTTTTGGGCAGCAGCCTATAGATTAGGGGTAGGAGGTTGGCAGCAGCCTCACTCTAATCTAAAGCAGCAGCCTAGGATTAGGAGTGAGGCTGGGGGGGGCAGCAGCCTATAGATTAGGGGAGTGAGGATGGGGGGGCAGCAGCCTATAGATTAGGGGAGTGAGACTGGGGGGGCAGCCTATAGATTAGGGGAGTGAAACTGGGGGGGCAGCCTATAGATTAGGGAAGTGAGCAAAGGCGTGCGCAGCCTATTGCATTAGGGTGTGCACCCTAAAGCACAAACACACGCCATGTGTATATGTATGTATGTCTGTGTGTGTATATATATATATACATATATATATTATATATATATATATATATACACACACACACACACACACACACACATATATATATATATATATATATATATATATATATACACACACTGCTGTGTGTGTGTGAGGGTGCTGGTAGTGTGCTATGTGGGTGATGGTGTTTTTGTGTGTGTTTGTGAGAGTGCTGTTAGTGTGCTGTGTGTGAGGGTGCTGTTTGTGTGCTGTGTGTGAGGGAACTGGTAGTGTGCTGTGTGTGTGCATGTGTGAGAGGGTGTTTGTGTGTGCGTGTTTGTTTGGGTCCTGTTAGTGTGCTGTTTGTGTGCTGTGTGTGGGTGTTGTGTGTTTGTCAGGGTGCTGTTTGTGTGTGTGTGCTGTTTGTTTGTGGGTGCTGTGCGGGTGTTGTGTGTGGGTTTTGTGTGTTTGTGAGGATGCTGTTAGTGTGCTGGGTGTGTGTGGGTGTTGTATGTGTGTGGGTGCTGTGTGTGCGAGGGTGATGTATGTGTGTAGGTGCTGTTTGTGGGCTGTGTGTGCTGTATGTGTGTAGGTGCTGTATGTTTGGTGGAGGTGGGGGCAGATTAGTTAATATCCCAGTCCTGCTGCCTTCCCTGGTGGTTCAGTTTACTCTAGCCCGGGTTCTCTGCTGCCTCCCTCCATGCTGCTGTGGACCGGTGAGGTAGAACTTTGATCTCCCCACCGGCCCATGGAGGCTTAGACCAGAGCCGCCGCTCAATCCATTGGCGTACCGCGGCACACCCCGTGCGCACGCCTATGGAAGTGAGGGATGGGGGAAACAGCCTACATGAAGAGTCAGCAAGGAGCAGGAAGGTAAAGGAAGAAAAGGAGAAGGAACAGAAATGAACAGGAAGGGTCAGCAAGGAGCTGGAAGGTAAAGCAGCACAAAGATAAAGTAGAAGGAGCAGAAAGGGTCAGAGATGAGCTGGAATGGGCAGAAGGAGCACAAACGTAAAGTAGCAGAAAGAATCAGAAGGAGCACAAAGGTAAAGTATGAGAAAGAGCAGAAAGGGACCGCAAGGAGCACAAAGGTAAAGTAGAAAAGGGAGCAGAAAGGGTCTGCAAGGAGCAGAAAGGGATCAGAATGAGAAAGGAGCAGAAAGGCGCAAAATAAGCAGAAAGTAGCAGAAAGGTAAAAGAGCAGAAGGGGCCAAGGATAGAAAACAGTGTCAGAAGAAAAAAAAAAGACTGTCAAATGAAGGAGAGGAAAAGGAGATTGGAGCAGGAAGGACAAATGAAGTGAACCCTCCACTTTATTCTGGACACCACATCATAAGGCTTTGGTACCTGGGCCAGGCAGGGAAACACTGGACGTTCTCATCTCCAAAGGTAAAAAAATATCAGTGTTAATGTGTTCACTTTTATTTACTGAGTGTCAGGAAGCACAGAGTGCCGCTGGGTAGGTGTGTTGCTGATTGGCTAGAGTGGTCAGCTGGCACTCTAAGCCAATCAGTAGCTTCCCATTCATAAAAAAGTTAAAATATTTTATGAACCGGGAACTAGCGATTGGCTTAGAGCGTCAACTGTCCACTCTAGCCAATCAGCGGCACCTATGCCTGACGTCAATCTGCAAATACCACTGAGCGACCTGGAGCTGGAGGAAGCCTTTGGGGTTAAACCATTTGAGAGTGATTTAACCCCTTAAAGGAAAGCGAGCACCCAGGGGCATCCTGGCATCATAGCATTTTCATTTAGGTGAAGTTGTTATGGTGACCAGAATGGTCCTTTAATTTGCTTAAAGGAACACCATAGTGTCAGGAATACAAATATATATTCCTGACACCATAGTTGTGGAAACGCTATTCACCCTGGCTTTATGTGATAATGGCTATGCCCCTTCCCTTTCATGACACTGTCAAAAAGGTACCAAGCATGGATGTCATTACAATTACGCCCCCCCCCGGAAAAATTCCTGTGGACGCCCATGTCCATGGTGATCAGGATCGGTGTATTATCCCTGATAATAGTTTTGCTGTTTGTAATTGTGTATCTTTCATGCATGTATGTAGATCCTCCACTGGAGCTTGGAACAGGTAAACTAGCCACTTGGCTATTGGTTCCAGAACACCGTCAATAGCTGACACTTTGGGTCGTCCTGGGGGATTCACTGGTTCCTTGTGTACTTTGGGTATAGACCGGGGTACATGGGTGGCTTTTGGTAAGGTATTGATATCCCATGTTTAATCCCATTGTGAGAACTTCATCGATCTTGTTCTGTATTTCTGTAGTTGGATCTGGTTGTAACTGGCAATATGTATGGCTGTCGGCTAATTGTTGTTTTAATTCACTGTAATATGTATAGATGTATAGTCCAAGATGACTATTCCTCTTCCTTTATCTGCCAAACGTATCATTATGGATGTGTCTTCCAATAATTCTCTTTGAGATTTGGATATGTTTTGCTGTCCCTTTGTACATTGTGACATGATTTTTCTGGCTTCACTTTGCGTTGTAGATTGAAAGGTCTTGATGGATGGTTTGTTTGATTGGGGGTCAAAAGTGGACTTTGGGAGACACCTGACTTGCCACACAGAATGCCTGGGAACCGAGACGGCGGAGTAGGGCCTACGGGGATGGACAGGCTGGGAAGGCGGCGGCTTCCCGTTCACCACTCCGGGCCACAGGCATGCACCAAGCACCCCCCCCATGGACCAGGGGGGGTATCCCGGTTCCCGACACATGGAGCTGGCTCTGCTGCACACCTGCAGTTGGAGCAGACAGCCGAAACCAACAGACCAGAGGTGAGGGCCTCCAAAATGGCGGACACAAGCGACTGCAAAAATCATTACACGCAGCAGCAGCCTGCAACACCCATTCACATCCCTAAAGCGAGCAAGACGAAGGTGAAGCAAAGCGGGGCAACAAACCCACACAGCCTGTCCAAAATGGCCACCCAGCCTATGCCTGAAATGCGGAGCACCAGCCTCAACACACACAGGTCCTCACTGGAAACCTTTGATTGGCTCTGCGCAGGCCTCAGGGAGGCTCTACACAGCCGGGGAGTAACTCACCGCCAAGCTGAATTAACGGTGGCCTCATGGATACGTCCTGCAGCGAGGCGCAGCTACTATATGCAGATACCCCGAGCCTCCAAGATGGCCGTCCGGCATAACAGATACCGCCGGGCCTCGAGGAGGGATGTGGCACCAAACCCCCCATGTACACGAACCCAACAGCACACAAGAAACACTGGGGCTATGAACCAAGCGACGCCCACACATACCCAACCTGACCGAAACCCCAGCGATAAGCGCAACACGACACGCACCTCCCTACACAAGGCAACACCACAAGCCACCACGCGACTGCACCACATGGGGGACACTACCGGAGCAGAACCCTGAGGCGGAGACACCGGGTCCTGTGGCAACAAAGACGAGTCCAGCAGACACAAAGCACAGGACTTACCATCACTGGGTATAGGCTGAAAAGCCGACAACGCTTCCTCACAGGGGGTAATCTTAGCCTGGACTGATCTGAATTCACAAAACAGCGTAATACCCAGACGCAGAAATATAACACAGGCCACATGTGGACGATACCCCCATGATAACGCAGGACACACTGCACAATGCTCTTGAAGGTTATTTGCCCAGCTAATTAACGGCAAGGCATAATTTTATGTTTAGTTACTTACAATAAAGTCTGTATTTACATTTAGCTTGTGTAACGAAGTAACCTCACATTGTAGGCACAATACTGCACTGTTATTTGCTTCTCGCGACACAACAGACTACACAAGAGCAGCGCAAGCAGCACACATGTCAAACACATGCCTATTACCTTTATAGTATAAATCATAATACCATATTACTATTACGGCAGCATAGCTAACATACCTAACCTAGCACTGTTAAGCGTTGATTATTTTACCTTGTTCTAACGACTTAATTACGCAGCCAAGCTTGTTATTGTTATAACTCTACAAAAATGTGCAACTCATCATGCCACTGTATAACTTGAATACACCTATGAACATGCTGTTGTGGCATATGTCGATGCTATGTAATAACATGCACAACAAAAATAAAGAATAAAAAAAAAAAAAAAAAAGTGGACTTTGGAGCAAATTTCTCTCTTGATATGTCAGTTATTTTTTCTTTTAATCGCTGAGGGATTATTAAAATATTCTTTGAGTCTCATACTTCTTCCGAACTTAAACAGCTCAATGTCCCATTTGAACTGGTTCGGTCTTGTCGTCGGTATGAACGATAATCCCTTACTCAACAGGTCTGTTTCTCCTTTGTTTAACCCCTTAAGGACACATTCCCTTTTACTCCAGAAGTTTGGTCCTTAAGGAGTTAAAGACATGTGAGACAAGTTGAATATAGGTATTACTTGCGTAGTGGTGGTTGCCCCGAATCTGTTGATTTCCCCTTGTGTCCTCTTTTCGTTCTCCGCCTTCAGCGCCTCTGAATCCGCTCCGGGTTATCGCACCTCCTTCTGGTGTTTCTAAAAAAAACTTCTGGTTTTCTCTGTGTGTCATTGTCTGAAGCTGACTGTCCAGATGTTATATCAATGGTGGTGACTCTGGGCCGAATTATTCTCTTACGTGGGCGTCTGTGCCTCTGCTTATTATCCCCCAATAGCCATTTGTACACTGTGACGAGACCAATCTCGCCACATTGCATTGGAGAAGCCTGGTTGCTCGTCTGTTACCTTTGGATTATGGCCCCATGTTAAAAGGCTTGATTTTCCCCTGCAAAGACATGAAAGCCGGGTCATTTGGTGCTTGCCCTGTTTGAGCGGTGATACCCCAGATAGCTATGCCATGGAGCCCATTCGTATAATGAAAGACTATGGGAAAGACTTTGGCTCCATGGCAATTGAACTGTATGTGTGTGCTCTGAGCGCCATTCAGTAATAAAGTGAGCTCAGATCTGAGCTGTCTGGGGATATGTTGAATGTACCTGTTTTGTGTAATGGCTGCACAGTTATATGTTTTTATGTGTTTTATTGTCTTTTGCTGCCATGTGTTCAATGGAATTTTGCCTCTGTCTTTGGAGATAATTGGATTACTACCCAATTATCTCCAGGATAGAAGGCTCTGTGGAACTGGTTTTGGTCAGAAAAGCCATGCTTCCTTTGGTCACAAAGGACTTCGATCTATCTTTTGAACCACTGGACCAATTTGGATGATTTTGACATATGTTTGTATTTGGAGTATGCTGATTCTGAAAATGTAAGTTTATGTGAATGTTATGCATACTTTTCAAGTTATGAATAATGTGGAAAAATTTTATTTCTCTGCTTGTTATAATTACATTACCCATTGTGTAAGGTAATTGTATCACAGGCAGAGGGGAGGATTTTGTGTGGGAGTGTGTGAGTGTATTGTAAGTGTTTATTGGTTGTGTTCCAAAACCCTGTAGGTGGTACTAATGTGTAAGAATGTGTACATAAGCACAATAAACCCACAGCTCTGTCTGTTCACTGCTTGACCCTCAACACGGAGCTTTGTCTCGTTCTTGGGGGGATTTATTGTATGCTGTTCCAGTTTGACTGCTAGGAGTGTAAACCTATTCGTATGGTTTTTCCTATTCGGCTGTTTACAGCATTCATATGGTTTCCTGTTCGGCGGATTGGTGTTCTGCAGTAGCTTTGCCTGTGTCTCTGGAAGGGGAAGATCTACTAAACGGCGGTTTAACCCTTTTATGCCTGGGGGTGCCGTTACATACACTCTATGCTCAGTGCAGTCTTGAGAGACGCTCTCATATTTTTGCTTTTTAAATCTTATCAGCTCGTTTTTATATCTTAACACTTCTTCAGTTTCTGTTGAAGTTTTAAGCCTTCAAGTGTTGTTTGGAGTATTGCATGCTCCGTTTCTGTGTCAATGATTTTGTGGCTTATCTCTATTAGGTCGGTTTTGACATCTTTGATTATAATGAGCATAAGGTCCAGTGATGCTTTGTTAGGTACTCCAGTCCAGTTTTTACATACTGTAGCTTAAGACCGGCCATTGGTGTGGACATTAAGTATTTTGAAGCCCCTTGAGATTTTCTTTGCCTTATAATAGTCAGACAAGAAAAGTCCGTGTAGATCTGGGTCAACTTGTTTTTTATGAGTCGTAGTCGTTTAAAGTATATATCTTTGGAGGTAAGATTATGTGGTAGTGTTAAACTTGCTTCTTCCCACAATATTCTCTGTACCTCCTCTTGTAAAAATTGGAGTGTCTTTGCACATTTATCATAAGCTCCTGCTTGCAATAGGAATTCATCCATCCTGTCTGGGGATGCTATGTTTCACAATATATCCAATTTCATAAATAAATGCTTTTCCAAGCAAGGTGCCGGTGCATAGGAGGAAGTGGAAGCCCTTACGCCCTAATACAAAGAAACGAGTACAGTCCTTGCACACAGGCCAAAACATTCAAAGTGCCGGGTGCCAGCCAGGGCTTGAAAGTATTCAAATAGAGAATGGATTAATACATATATATATATATATTTGTGTAAGGGGCAATTAGCCATATATGGAGTGAGGTTCAAGTGAGAACGTAGGATAGAATAAAAGAGCAAAGTCGGTTGTGGTGTGCCGATACCGACGATACGGTAGGCATGTAAATAAAGAGGGCCCACCAAGAAGAAATAAAATTAAGATAGAATTGGAAAGAAAGTGTTGTAAAAGAGGAGTTCATTCAGACGCTGACCTTAAACGGTGTGGAGTCAGGTAAGGGTTGTACTTTATATAGGGGAGTAAATTAATTTAAGCCCCTCCCACAAATACAGGCCAAACAGCCTTAATACTTGTGTAAGGGGAAATTAGCCGTATATGGAGTGAGGTTCAAGTGAGAACGTAGGATAGAATAAAAGAGCAAAGTCGGTTGTGGTGTGCCGATACCGACGATAAGGTAGGCCTGTAAATAAAGAGGGCAAAAATTGAATAACCAAAGATTTAATACAGTCAACAATTATATACAATTATCCAGACATTTCTTTAAAAGCATTTCTTAATTCTTGTGTAGGTTTTGGTATGTAGGTTGTGTAGGTGGATGACTTCCACAGCCCTAATGACTTAATGATATGTACCGGTATGTTTGCGCTGGAGGCTATGGAGGCCGCCCCTATCCGGAAGGAGTGACCTGAGTAGAGTGAAGGGTTAATTCGCCTTTTCAAACCCTTCTCTGCTAACATTCATGTTATTTATCGTCCCCCTGGTTCCCCCCTCCTATTCCTTGACCACTTTGCTGCCTGGTTACACTACTTCTTCTCTTCTAATATTCCATCCCTAATTCTTGGGGACTTCAATATTCCCATTAACCCACCTTTGACCTCAGCAGCCTCTAAACTACTTTCAATACTTCCTCCCTCGGGCTATCGCAGTGGGCTAATTCTCCCAACCATGTAGCTGGCAATACCCTCTACCTCATTTTCTCTAATGCATGTACAGTATCTAATATCTGCAACACTCCATTTCCTCTCTCTGATCACCACCTCATATCGTGGGCTCTCCTCATCCAACAACCTCAGCCCAAGCCCCCTCAACTGAGGAGAAACCTTAATTCTATTGACCTCCAGCAGATGTCAGCTGTTATTGATTCACAACTGCTATCCATCCCTTCCCTCTCCTATCCCTCACTGGCCATCTCCCACATATAACACTACCCTCACCTCTACCTTGAACGCTGCAGCCCTGCTCCAAACATGCACCTTGAGGAGGGTACGCACCTAACCATGGCATACTAATCAACACGCTACCTGCAAAGATGCTCCAGTTGTGCTGAACACTCCTGGAGGAAGTCTCGCACTCAGTCAGACTTTCTCCATTATAGATTCGCCAAACAGTCATACTTTTCCTCTCTTAGTTCATGCTACCGCAATCCCAGGCATCTCTTTGACACCGTTAGCATTTCTTCACCCTGCTGTGACCACCCCCCAAACTAACCTTACAGCCGATAGCTTTGCATGCTACTTTACCGACAAGATTGAACAGCTAAGGAAAGAATTCTCCCCACCTTGCCGTTCTCTTTCTCAACCACACATAGATCCATAAGTATGCCCCTTCTCAGTCCCTCCTGTCTGCCCTTGACCTTCTCCTGTCCACTGCTCACACCCGTACAGCCAACTCATGCTTGCAGGACTTCTCACGGGCTGTTCCCTTCCTATGGAATAGCCTGCCTACCCCAATCAGACTCTCCTCTAGTCTTCAATCATTTAAGAAGTGCCTTAAAATCTATGTCTTTAGGAAAGCTTATGGCCTCCCAGAGTAACGTCTACCTTACATACCTGTCACTTGCTCTCTCCTTAAGGGCAGCTGTGACGAAGTGCACTTCGCCACTTGGTCCTGGAGAGGCCTGCTTGCCAGCCTCCTGCCCTGCGACTATGGCCCCTGGGAGATTGTACCCGTTTAAATCAGCATTTGTGCTCATGGACTTTTATTGTACGTGCTGGCCCATACTGAAACTTTTTGGATGCTTTTTCTTCCCCTTTGAATCCCTGGGAAGGTGTGTCTCTTCCCCTCCCCCAGCTCCATTGTTCTCCAGCAGGGTGTTGTCCCAGGGACACTGCCAGACCAGTGGGAACTGGTTTGGGCAGGAAAAGCCATGCTTGCAAGTGATAACAAAGGACTTCAACCTAACTTTTAAACCCCTGAACCTATTCAAGTGAATTTTGGATATGTTTGTCATCAAGTTATACTGGTTAAAATAATATAATATTTTATGTACGTACAATGTAAACTCACAAAGTTATAAAAATGTATAAAAAGTGTAACTTTTCAGCTTGGAGATAATTGAGTAGATACAGTAATTGACTCAATTGTCTCCTAAGCAGAAGGGGGGAATATGATGGGTGTGTTTCTATTGTCCCATTGTGTCTGATTGGCTACTGTACTTGCATTGTATGTGTTGTAATGTGTTTATTGGTTGTTCTGAAAAACCCTGTGGGTGGTACTAAGTGTGGAAAACCTGCATAAAAGAAGGCCCTTTGGTGCCAAGTAATACAGTTCTTCTTCACCCTCAATCTAGAGTCCTGTCTCTTTTTGAGGGAATTGCTATATCACTACAAGGGATTGCTATGCTCTGCCTGCTCCCTTGGATAATCACTTCTAAGTGCTTGGAGCCCTCAGGAATCGCTAGGAGCATCCTTCAACGTAGGTACCCAGTCGGGGTGCCAGGTAATCTTACAGCAGCACTCTACTCTTTCCTCTAGCTCTGCTTCACCCCCATCTTATCTGATTGATATTTATGTCCTAATGTGTTTTATACCCCTCATCCTATAGACTCATTTGAGCAGGGTCCTCATCAACCTACTGTTCCTGTTAGTTTTCTTGTAATTGTCCTATTTATAGTTAAATACCCCTCATATTATTGTAAAGTGGTATGGAATCTGTTGATGCTATAACAAATGGTGATAATAATAATAATAATAATAATAATATAACTGACCATGTAGGCACTAATAGTGTTTTCTTACCATAGGAGATTTTTCCTGATTTATCGATATCAATATCTTTAAATAGTTTGGAGACATCAAGATCTGGAATTCCCAATGAAGACTGCAGCAAAGATGAAAATTCATCCACAGTAATACTGCCATCTTCATCAACATCAAATAGCTGCATACAAGAAATAAACATTGCATTATCAATATATATATTTTGTGAATAATAAGTAAATAAAATCATTCAAAATATTATTATAAAATGTTCTTAAATTAAAAGGAAACTTCAGTGCCATGGAAACAATCCATTTTACTGGCACTGCAGATCCCCTCCCACCTCCCAGTCCCCGGTTGCTGAAGGGGTGAAAACACGTCGCTGCTTCTTCCTCTGCTGCTGCTCCTCCTCTGCAGTACATCAGCCAGCGAGACTGATCCCGTCCGCCGGCTGGGTAGACCTAATGCGCATGCACAGCAATACCGCGCATGCGCATTAGAAAGGATTTTCAATGCTTTCCTATGGGCAATTGAGCGACGCTGGAGGTCTTCACGTAGAAAATCTGTGCTAGAGACACGGAAGTGCCCTCTAGTGGCTGTCTAGTAGAAAACTGCAATAATTACACTTGCAGGGTTAAGGGTAGTGGGAGTTGGCATCTAGACCACTCCAATGGGCAGAATTGGTCTGGGTGCCTGGAGTGTCCCTTTAACAAACTTCGTACCAAAAATGAACTGCCTGGGTACTGAACCAATACATTGGCAGATGGTGGAAGACAGTGCATTATGTCGTGGTTCTTAATTAAAAGTTAGTTTAAAATAAAAATAAAAACTATCCAACTAAAACTTAACCCTTTCCCTGCCTTTTGATCAGTGCTTCCCGTAATCAGAATACTAATCACAGTGTTTTCCTGTGAATTGATTTTAGTTTTTACCCTCATGGGTTAACTTGTATTGATTTTAATCCTCAGGGGTAATGTATTTAACCCCTTAAGGACTGAGCCAAATGTACACGTTGTGATCAAAACAAAACGTAAACAAAACCTGGAATTTGACTGTATGTTCAACCTTAATTCACCTCTTTCATATTAAATACACTAACACTTATTATATATCATTTTATTCAGGAGAAACATGGCTTTCATTTAACTTTAAATATTTAGCTATGAAACATAATTTAATATAAATAAAATATAAAAAAATGGGAGAAAATAGGAAATGTTAAAATTGTTTTTGTTCTACATGACATTTGCGAATGTCATAATACTGTTTGCGTTTACTGCAATAAAATACACATATTTGTATTCAGCGATGTCTCATGTGTCAAACAGTACAGGTTTTATGGTGTTTTGGGAAGTTACAGGGTCAAATATAGCATGTTAAATTTTTTAGTTTTTTCACATTGAAATTCGCCAGATTGGTTACATTGCCTTTGAGACCGTATGGTAGCCCAGGAATGAGAATTACCCCCATGATGGCATACCATTTTCTGGGCTAACATATAGTCTCAAAGGCAACGTAATCAATCTGTCGAATTTCAATGTTAAAAAAACTCAAGCCTTATATTTGACTCTGTAACTTTTGAAAACATCATAAAGCCTGTACATGGGGGGGAGGAGGGGGGTACTGTTATACTCGGGAGACTTTGCTGAACACAAATATTAGTGTTTCAAAACAGTAAAAAGTATCACAACAATTATATAATCGGAGTAAGTGCCATTTGTGTGTGAAATATGCAAAGAAATGTCACTTTCTTTGACGATATCATCGTTGTAATACATTTTACTGTTTTGAAACACTAATATTTGTGTTCAGCGAAGTCTTCCAAGTAAAACAGTACACTCCATGTACAGGTTTTATGGGGTCTTGGAAAGTTACAGTGCTAAATATAGTGCTAGCAAATTAAATTCCCTGGACTTTCGGCAGGCAGGTCGCACAAATTGCAATTAATAAAATGACCTAATTATGTAAAATTATTACACATATACGTAGAATTATTATATATATATATATATATATATATATATATACATATATATATATATAAGTATAAGTATGTGTGTGGGTGTTTAAATATATATATGTATATATATATATATATACATATATATATATAAAATAAACAAAAGTGAGGGCTGCATTCCTCGGTCTTCTTTAAAAATGCTTTATTAAATATGCATAAAAAGAAAAAGTTGATCGACATTTCAGCCCCAATCCGGGCTTTCCTCAGGATCAAAAATAACAACAAAGTATACATAACGATTAATACAGCTTATATATCATATGTGTAATAAGAATACTAACCTCAGCTGATGTGCTCGCCCGCCGGCGTCCCATCGATCGCTATGCGCATGCGCGAGGATGACCAATCAGAGTCCGCTCACTTGGAGCATGTGACTCTAGTCTCTGCCCCCACAACCCGGGCGGCAGCAAGAGCATAGCAAATACCGAGCCCCTTGACAGTAATGCCTCTGCCAACCTATCGCTGCACATCCTGAGCGCATGCGTAGGGCTGTGGAAGGAATACTTAGTAAAAATAAATGATTTAGTTGCGCCAATACAATAGATGGGTGCCGGATGGTCCGCACATCTTCCGAGGTGCACTGTAGAGAAACAATGTAAATAAAAGATTAAAAACAAACAGTTCTTTCATATCTGGTTACAAAATAACTAACTATTCCGGCTGTTGGTATCTACTTGATATTAAATTGTTATTATTAATCAATATAGTGATTATACTTGCAAAAAAGTATAAAAGCATACAATTTATAGTGCTGTGAAGGCATAAGCTATAAAGTGAACTAGTGCATTGACGGAAATATCTTTTAAATTGTGCAAATTCATATATAGCAAATATATTGTCATGATGTTAGTGAAATTAATCAACCTATTAATTGGCCAATAGTACTACAACAATATAAGAATAGTGTAGTAAGTTCTAATTAAATATATATAATAAAGTACAAAGAGATAAAGTGCAAATGTTGTGGAAATAAAGTAACAGTGCAAATGGTGCTAACTATCATTTATAAGTAAATCAATATAATGAATAATATTGTTTGTGCACTAATATTAAAAATGTATATATATATGTGCAAATTTCATAATCTATGCCCTTCTATTATATTGCATCAAGTCGGCTACGGTATAGTTACATTAATAGAACTACTAACTATAGAATCTGGAAAAAATCCAGAAAATTCAAGTAGAAATTAAAAAATACTAGGTTAGAGAAACAGAACAATATTTCATCACTCGCTGGGGAATAATATTACAAAAATGAATTAAATAATACATTTTCATTAAGCCCTCCTGGGGCCACAGTTTTTAATTCATAGATCCAGCAGGCCTCTCTATTGAGTAGAATACGGCCTCAATCCCCACCACGTCTAGATTGCGGTACGTGGTCAATGGCTGTGAACTTCAGTGAAGATAGAGGGTGCTGTGCATTCAAAAAATGTTTAGCTACTGGCTTATCGGTTTCTCCATCTCGATAGGCTAACCTAATGCTCGAACGATGTCCCCATATTCTGTCACACAACGGGGTCTCAGTCTTGCCAACGTAGTTGAGACCGCAGGGGCATGTCAATTTATAAACCACAAATGGTGTTTTGCATGTAATGGTGTGTCGAATCTCATACTTTTTATTAGTGTGGGGGTGATGAAAAACTTTAGCTGGAACCATATGACCACACGTGACACAACCTAAACACCGTATACATCCCCGGTTAGACATCTTCGCTGATTTATTGTAGCTTTTGACTGGATCTGTCTGTACTAACAAATCCTTTAGGTTCTTATTTCTTTTAAAACAAATAAGATGAACTTCCTTAAAGACCTTAGGGAGCATGTCATCTGTTGCCACCATCTGCCAATTATCTTTGACGGTTCTGGCAATTGCACGCGAATGTTGATGATAAGTCTTTGTGGAGTATTTATTTTCGCAGTCTCACTGAGTGCTCACTCCAGAGTGTTTCTATTGTACCCACGATTAAATTTTTTTTGTTGCATATCCTTCAATTGTCTTTCCATCACGTCCAGATTATTTATTTTAAAACAAATAAAGTGCTCACTCCAGAGTGTTTCTATTGTACCCACGATTAATTTATTTTTGTTGCATATCCTTCAATTGTCTTTCCATCACGTCCAGATTAGAGTTATTCCTAATAACACGTAGGAATTGTGCCTTGGGCAGAGAGTTCTTAAGAGCAGCTGGATGTGCGCTCTGAGCATATAGTAATACATTTCGATCTGTAGGTTTAGAATATAACGAATACTCAATTTGATGTTCACCAACTGTTAATTCAAGGTCAAGAAAGTGGATTTTATCACGGCCAATATTCGCTGTGAAACGTACCGGAGTTGGTAAATCGTTAAATTGTTTCACCATAGATGCTGCTTCCGATTGTGTACCAGACCAAATTATAAGCACGTCATCGATATAGCGATAGTACTGCACAATATGTTGTGCATATTGTGATAAAACGTGTTTTTCTTCAAATACATACATCTATACATTTGCATACATGGGGGCCATCGCCACCCCCATTGAAGTGCCAGCAACTTGCAGGTACCACTTGTCTTGGAACCTAAAGTAATTGTTTTGCAAGGACATCATTAAAAGTTCCAATACAAATTCTATTGCAGGACCTTGATAGCACTTGGTCTGTGTAAGTACTATACGCATGGCCTCAACACCATCTTCATGAGGAATGATGGTGTATAAACTTGCCACATCCAGAGTTATCATTAAGAGATCCTGTCCTTGAGTGCATAGCATGTTCAATTTAGCTATCAATGACTGTGTAAGCACTATAAGCTATATTTCACTTGTGGATCTAGTTTGCTTTTAATGGATAATTTTTTCTCACAAGCTGGAGGGTATTCAGAACATGCCGATACCGTACAATTTACAGATGAAGAAGCCCAACAAATTTTGTGGGAACAATCCCGTCTACAGTTACCCCAACAATGGACCTGCAAAGATGTTTTGTTTTTTTAAACTGCTTTGGTTACATAAAAAATATATCGATCTTGATCTGCATGGATTATTCCTGTCAGATTATTATAAAGCTAAAAGGATTCCAAGAGGATTCAGAATTCTAAATATCCCCACTATTGGGCGGGCTAAACCTAAAGTCTGCAAAGATTGGACACATGTATTAAATAAAGCTAGATTTGATGTAAAGGCAGATCCTACAGAATATATTCAGTCCAAAATTGCTGATATTCTATCTATGGCACTTACAGCAGGTCACATTGATATTCAACTTTACCATTATCTACATAAACTCCATCCACGGACGCCGATTATTTATAGTATCCTGAAGATACACAAAAATGCACAGCAACCACCAGGACGCCCGATTGTGTCTGCAGTGGAAGGCATTTTAGAGCCAATCACAAAATGGTTGGATTCCATCTTTAAAGGACCAGTTGAGGAACTACATACATGCATTAAAGATACACAGTCATTGATAGCTAAATTGAACATGCTATGCACTCAAGGACAGGATCTCTTAATGATAACTCTGGATGTGGCAAGTTTATACACAATCATTCCTCATGAAGATGGTGTTGAGGCCATGCGTACAGTACTTACACAGACCAAGTGCTATCAAGGTCCTGCAATAGAATTTGTATTGGAACTTTTAATGATGTCCTTGCAAAACAATTACTTTAGGTTCCAAGACAAGTGGTACCTGCAAGTTTCTGGCACTTCAATGGGGGCGGCGATGGCCCCCATGTATGCAAATGCATACATGTATGTATTTGAAGAAAAACACATTTTATCACAATATGCACGACATATTGTGCAGTACTATCGCTATATCGATGACGTGCTTATAATTTGGTCTGGTACACAATCGGAAGCAGCATCTATGTGAAACAACTTAACGATTTACCAACTCCGGTACGTTTCACAGCGAATATTGGCCGTGATAAAATCCACTTTCTTGACCTTGAATTAACAGTTGGTGAACATCAAATTGAGTATTCATTATATTCTAAACCTACAGATCGAAATGTATTACTACATGCTCAGAGCGCACATCCAGCTGCTCTTAAGAACTCTCTGCCCAAGGCACAATTCCTACGTGTTATTAGGAATAACTCTAATCTGGACGTGATGGAAAGACAATTGAAGGATATGCAACAAAAAATTTTTAATTGTGGGTACAATAGAAACACTCTGGAGCGAGCACTCAGTGAGACTCCGAAAATAAATACTCCACAAAGATTGGTGTTTCCCATGACTTATCATCAACATTCGCCTGCAATTGCCAGAGCCGTCAAAGATAATTGGCAGATGGTGGCAACAGATGACACGCTCCCTAAGGTCTATAAGGAAGTTCCTCTTATTTGTTTTAAAAGAAATAAGAACCTAAAGGATTGGTTAGTACAGACAGATCCAGTCAAAAGCTACAATAAATCAGCGAAGATGTCTAACCGGGGATGATCACCCCCACACTAATAAAAAGTATGAGATTCGACACACCATTACATGCAAAACACCATTTGTGGTTTATAAATTGACATGCCCCTGCGGTCTCAACTACGTTGGCAAGACTGAGACCCCGTTGTGTGACAGAATACGGGGACATCATTCGAGCATTAGGTTAGCCCATCGAGATGGAGAAACCGATAAGCCAGTAGCTAAACATTTTTTGAATGCACAGCACCCTCTATCTTCACTGAAGTTCACAGCCATTGACCACGTACCGCAATCTAGACGTGGTGGGGATCGAGGCCGTATTCTACCGATCTATGAATTAAAAACTGTGGCCCCAGGAGGGCTTAATGAAAATGTATTATTTAATTCAGTTTTGTAATATTATTCCCCAGCGAGTGATGAAATATTGTTCTGTTTCTCTAACCTAGTATTTTTAATTTCTACTTTTCTGGATTTTTTTCCAGATTCTATAGTTAGTAGTTCTATTAATGTAACTATACCATAGCCGACTTGATGCAATATAATAGAAGGGCATAAATTATGAAATTTGCACATATATATACATTTTTAATATTAGTGCACAAACAATATTATTCATTATATTGATTTACTTATAAATGATAGCACTATTTGCACTGTCACTTTATTTCCACAACATTTGCACTTTATCTCTTTGTACTTTATTATATATATTTAATTAGAACTTACTACACTATTCTTATATTGTTGTAGTACTATTGGCCAATTAATAGGTTGATTAATTTCACTAACATCATGACAATATATTTGCTATATATGAATTTGCACAATTTAAAAGATATTTCCGTCAATGCACTAGTTCACTTTATAGCTTATGCCTTCACAGCACTATAAATTGTATGCTTTTATACTTTTTTGCAAGTATAATCACTATATTGATTAATAATAACAATTTAATATCAAGTAGATACCAACAGTCGGTATAGTTAGTTATTTTGTAACCAGATATGAAAGAACTGTTTGTTTTTAATCTTTTATTTACATTGTTTCTCTACAGTGCACCTCGGAAGATGTGCGGACCATCCGGCACCCATCTATTGTATTGGCGCAACTAAATAATTTATTTTTACTAAGTATTCCTTCCACAGCCCTACGCATGTGCTCAGGATGTGCAGCGATAGGTTGGCAGAGGCATTACTGTCAAGGGGCGCGGTATTTGCTATGCTCTTGCTGCCGCCCAGGTTGTGGGGGCGGAGACTAGAGTCACATGCTCCAAGTGAGCGGACTCTGATTGGTCATCCTTGCGCATAGCGATCGATGGGACGCCGGCGGGCGAGCACATCAGCTGAGGTTAGTATTCTTATTACACATATGATATATAAGTTGTTATTTTTGATCCTGAGGAAAGCTCGGATTGGGGCTGAAACGTCGATCAACTTTTTCTTTTTATGCATATTTAATAAAGCATTTTTTAAGAAGACCGAGGAGTGCAGCCTTCACTTTTGTTTATTTTGTCTACATCTGCCAGTTGGATTATGCACCCGGCATTTATAAGGATTACGTGAGTGCAAGGAATTGTGTCCAATTTTATATATATATAAAATATATATATATATATATATATATATATATATATATATATGTATGTGTGTGTGTGTGTGTAAATGGTAGTGGATTCAGCGCTTAGTGTCTCAATAGAATAGTGCAGAATATAAATATAGGCAGCAACCTAAAGTTAAGACGTTCCCTCACAGTACATCAGAGAAGGGGGAAAATCTGAAGGAAAAAAGGTTTTAGGTTGCGCCAAAAAATCGTATATAAAAAGATAAAACAGATAATACAAACATAAGTTAAAACTGAAATATATTCATATAAAACTACTAAACAGTATATATGCAATATGGTAAGTACTTACATATATCAGTACATAAAAGAAAAACAGTCCTAAAGTAAGCAGGAAATGGTCACATCCACTTGTAAAAGAGAAATAGTCCAAATGGGAATAGAGGAATGAATGTAGTGTCTTGTTCCGGATAGCAATATGCGAAATAGAACAGAGGAAAAATCCAATAGTGTAGACTGTAACTTCAGCTTCTTTATGAAGATTCAAAGTAAAGAGGTATCGCACTCACCTATTGTGGAGCTTGAACTAGCTCAGGTGTACTTCACATTCAGTGGTATTAGTCCCCCACTGATGGGATATAGGCGTATGCACGTAACGGAGATCCTCGAGAGAGGGTAACACAGAATAGTGCTCACTGTATAAATGTTATAATTACGTGAGATAAAATATGTATAGAATACTCACATTTAAGTGAGCAGGATATACTGCTCACTTGTATGGCATAGGTGGTATAATCCCAACCTAAGATTCTTGAACAAAAGGGTAGTGATGCATAAAATAGTAACCAGGTCCAGGAATAAAATAAAAAACTTATTATTATGAAAATTAAAATAAAAGGTATATGGCAAAGAAAAAGGTAATGTACTAGCCAATAATCCTTTATTGATATGATATAAAATAAGATAATAAAAAAGCCAAAACGTGTTTCGCCACACAGGGCTTTTTCAACTGGCAATAAGAAACAGAGACCTGGTTTACAATGGTTTATATAACCTTTTAGTTCATTATCAGATTCAAAATTGGCGCCAAAATTACGTCATGATTTATGCATAAAATAATAAATAACATGTATGTGTTTAAGAAGTTACTATAATATTAGATGAGCTTCAAAAGTGTATTGTTAGGCTAAAATGCATATTGAGTAATATATATATATGATATATAGACATTAAAAATGAAAGTAGTAATAGAACGAAGGGTTTTGTGGTTCGAGCGGTCATGTGACCGCAAGCAACCAATGACATGGTAGCAACAAAGAAGTTGAACATAGAGGAAGGTGGGAGATGTAGGCAGACCAAACTTCCGGGTTTCAGCGGTCACGTAATGCGGCGTAACCAATAGCGCGCCTACGTCACGTGCAACCGAGAAAGGGAAGATGGAGGATGATAGGAGGACATAAATGACAAGGAGATCCCCATCTCAGCACAAAAGCCCCTCCAAAATCGAGAGACAAATTGAGGACCCCTGTTGGATACGATATCCTGTGGTATACCATGCAAGCGGAACACCTCTTTGGCAAATACCTGAGCCAACTGAACCGCAGAAGGTAGTTTCTTAAGTGGAATAAAGTGTGCCATTTTAGAGAACCGACGGGCGGGAAGTCAAAATTACTGTCACAGTCAAAATTACTGTCTGCCCACCAGATGAAGGAAGATCTGTCCACCAGATGAAGGAAGATCTACAATGAAGTCCATGGATAAGTGGGTCCATGGTTTCTTGGGCCAGGATAGAGGCATTAGGAGTCCCAGGGGTTTAACATTAGGGGACTTACACTGTGCGCAAACACAATAAGCCTGCACATAATCCACTACGTCCTGCTTAAGTGAGGGCCACCAAAATTGTTGAAGAAGACCCTTGTATGTTTTGGTAACCCCTGGGTGACCAGCCGTTTTGGCGCTGTGAAATAAAGCGAACAATTTATTTCTATCTTTTTCTTTCACGTATAATCTACCAACAGGTGTCTCAGAGGGTGCTTGGGATTGGTATGTCTTGATACCATCAAGGAAAAGAGACAAAATAACCAAACGGGTAGTAGCTATTATCTTAGATGTAGGTACAATGGGTTCAGGAGCGGGGGCAATTGACTCCAAAGGTTCGTATTGTCTGGAGATAGCATCAGCCTTGACATTACGGTACCCAGGCCTATATGTGATAATGAACTGAAAGCGTGAAAGAAATAAAGACCATCTGGCTTGACGAGAGGATAACCTTTTAGCATCTGCTATATAGGAGAGATTCTTATAATCAGTTATGACCAGGATTTTGTGTCTAGCTCCTTCTAATAAGTACCTCCATTCTTTAAAAGCCATCACAATAGCTAATAGTTCCCTGTTCCAACGTCGTAATTCTTTTCCGAATCAGACAGCCTTTTAGAAAAGTAACAACAGGGATGGAGGGGTTCGTTATACGATAGTCTTTGTGATAATACAGATCCTACACCTGATTCTGAAGCGTCTACTTCCATAACAAAGGGAAGAGAAGGATCAGGATGGTGTAGCACAGGGGCAGTGGCAAATGCCTTTTTGAGAGTCTCGAAGGCTTTAACGACTTCAGGAGTCCAAGCCCTGGGGTGCAATCCCTTTTTATTCAGTTTCGTGATAGGAGAAATGACTGATGAAAAGTTTTTAATAAACCTCCGATGATAATAATTGGCAAAGCCTATAAATCGCTGTATTGCCTTACGGCCTTGGGGAAGAGGCCAAATCAATATGGCTTCTAATTTTGAAGGATCCATGCTGAATCCCTGTTCAGAAATGACGTACCCTAGGATTTGTACTGATTTTTGGTCAAATAAACATTTCTCGAATTTACAATAAAGACCTTCTGCAGCAATCTCTTAAGTACAATCCTCACATGGGCATGATGTGACTCTAAATCAGGAGAATATACAAGTATATCATCGAGATAAACCACGGCACAGACATGCAGTAAATCTCTAAGGACATCATTTATGAGGTCCTGAAACACAGCAAGAGCATTACACAGTCCAAAAGGCATGACTAGATACTCGTAATGCCCCCTGCGTGTATTGAACACTGTCTTCCATTCATCATTCTCTTTTATACGAACCAAGTTATATTTTTAATTGTTATATTATTCAGGCCCCTGTAGTCTATACATGGCCTCAAATCGCCCTCTGGCAACAAAAAAGAAACCTGCACCAGCCGGAGAGGAGGACCTTCCGATAAAACCTTTATGTAAAGATTCCTGTATGTACTCCTACATAACATGTTTTTTTTTTTTTTTGGTCAAAAAGTGGGTAGACCCTAGGGGGCATAGTACCAGGTAACAGGTTTATGACACAATCATAATCCCGGTGTGGGGGTAGCTTATCAGCCTCCCTTTTTTCAAAGACCAATGCGAGGTCTGCATAAACAGGAGGGACAGAAACAGAAAGTGGTTTAGCTGTAGGCACATTAAGTAAGCAAACGGGATGTAAACGGGCCATACAGTCTTGTTGACAAGATTCCCCCCAGGAGAGTATATCTAAACAACCCCAATCAAGTACCGGGTTATGCTTACCTAACCAGGTAAAGCCCAGAACGATGGAAGCTGTAGGGGAGTCAATTATTTGGAAGGTTAACCTTTCCTTGTGTAAGGCACCCACGGCCATAACCATTTCTTGAGTTTCATGGGTCACCAGAGGTTTATCAAGTGGTCTACCATCTATGGCCTCAACAGCAAAGGGTGTGGCCTTTTGGATCAGAGTCAAGGCTGCGGTTTTTGCAAAGTTCTCATTCATAAAGTTGTCTGCAGCACCTGAATCGATCAAGGCTTTAGTTGTTATAGTGGTTTGATTGACAAAAAGAGTAACCGTAATAAATGGTCTGGAGATGGACACATGAGGGGAAAAAACCATAACACCCAAGGCCGACCCCTCTCTAGGCCTTAGGTGCTGAAATTTCCCTGCAAACTAGGACAGTTTCTTCGGAGATGCCCCCTCTTTCCACAATAGAGGTACAAGCCCTCCCTTCTGCGATACGTTCTTTCAGCTTCAGTTAAGCCTACAGCATGGGTTCGGGAGGTGGTTGATTAGGGGGAGGTAATGCTAGTAATGCAGTACTGGGTAAAGCAGGTAACCCCTGTGTATTCATCCTTCTTTGACTATGGTTGTCAATAAGAATGATATAATCTATTACATCATCCAGAAGAACAGGCAATTCCCTGGATGCTATTTCATCAAGTATGTAAGTGGCCAAACCCTCCTGAAAGGCTGTTACGAGGGCGTCGTAATTCCAAACTACTTCAGCTGCCAGAGTGCGGAATTCAATGGTATAATCCGCTACAGATCTATTACCCTGTCGGACCCTAAGCAGAGCTTTGCCAGCAGAAGCAACCCTACCGGGTTGATCAAATGTACGTTTAAAAGCTGTAAAAAAGTCTGCAAAGGACATTGGGGATGTATTCTCCCACATGGGATTAGCCCATGCTAGAGCTTTCCCGGACAAGTGGTTGATCAGAAAAGCAATTTTGGTTCTGTCAGTGGGGTAGGAACGAGGATTCATCACCAAATGAATATCAAATTGGTTGAGGAAACCACGGCACAATGCTGGATCACCGCTATAGCGCTGAGGTGGCATCATGTGAACCACGTGAGCAGGAGCAGGTACTGGATTGGGAATGGGTTCTGGCACAGAAGCAACAGCTTCTTGAACGGCAGGTTGCAGGTGGGCATTACGAGCCAGTATGGTTTGTAAAGCCTGGGCAAACTGATCCATACGATGGTCTAAACCATCCATTCTAGCCTCCTGATTTACTAACAACTGTGGAATGTCAGCAGGTTCCATGGTGGCCCTGTTGTAATGTCACGATTCTGGAACCTAACACGCTAACAGGACACAGAGCGGAAGAATGCTATACCGGTCCTTAGAGTGGCCAGGCTAAGCACACTAAGAATAGTCAGGAGACAAGCCAAGTAAAGGGAGCCAGAAAACGGGAGAACGAGAAACAAGCCGAGGTCGAAGGAGTGGAGAATACAGGAAAATCGGAATAATGAGCCAAATAATCGGTAACCAGAGAGCAACACGAGAAAACTGCACTACAGGTATCACAAGACCACAACAGGGCACTGAGAGACAGGAAAGGTAAGTATAAATACCCTTTGCTTAATTCTGATTGGATAACTTCCAATCAGAATTAACAATCACACGTGGGAGATATCTAAGCCTCCCACTGTGATTTTGGTACTGTTGCTTTATAGCCGGGTCACGTGAGTGACCCCGGCATTTGCATAAATTTGCGATTTGATACTTGAGTCATTCAGATATATGATAAAGGTGGTTCTTTACATTGTTGCCATGAATCTATTGTCATCTTTTTCCAATTCCTGGCAATAGACAATTTAAAAGCCATCAGTGCGTGAATTAAGAAACATTTCTCATCTTTTGCTAGTTGTGGTAATTTAAGATGTAACAGTACCATTTCTGGTACCCATTTTTGTGTAATGCCCAATATTTTATTAATTTCAACTAAAAAACAATCCCATGCTATCCTTAGCGGTATACAGTTCCACCATATATGTATTTCATCTGCGTCTTCTGCACCACATCTCCAACACCCCAGACTTTCTGAATTTGAAAACTTTCGTATCTTTGCCGGTGTCATATTTAATAATTTGTACTGTGCCTCCATAACGTTTAAACAATGCACTGTGGAGTATACAGACTGAAGAGCCTGTAAAGGATCCTGCTATTCGTGCAGTGCTGATCCTTATAGCTTCTCCCGAAATCCAGCTGAAACAAAGTGATTATAGCTTCCAATCCCCCAAACATGAGTCGAGACTTCATGAAGGGGTAAAACGATCTGCTTTATTGATGGCCAAACTCAGCCCTTTTATGATGGTCTCCCAGCAAGGAAACTCCCACATGGGACCTTGTGGAAGACTGTGACAAAATATACAGAACCAATCAGGGTACAGTACAATTCTTAAACACACCCACAGTAACAGTGAAACCACACCTCTCTATCCTGGAGATAATTGGCTTAAGTGGTTGGAGAAAACCCAATTATCTCCAGGCAGAGAGAAAAATTTGCTTTTAACATTTTAACAAAACTGTTTTAAAATCTATAACTTATATTTCAGTGAATGTAGACTCTAAGTTCCACATACCCCCAGATAGCTTGGATCTGAGCGCACATTATAGCTGAATAGCGCTCAGATCCCACGAACACAGTTCTCAATATCGTTGACTGAAGTTTTAATTCACCGGTTGTTCGCGAGATTGAATCCGAAAAGAGTTCCATAACTTCAGCTACCTGGGGTCGGTCTCCTTCGTCTATTATGAAAATCCCGAAAGCATATTGTTCGTGCCTAACTAAGCGAATGGCATGGATGGTGGTGAGCTTCAGCGGTGTTCGTCTAAATAGGTGTCCGAAAATAGTTCCAGAGCGTCGACGACAAACTACCGCTGAGCGTTCGGCGATTTAAAATGGCCGCCGCCACGTGTTCGTCAACCCTGGCATTCGACAATTAAGTTGCGGTTAACCGCAGCTTCTGGGTGGCTAATAAGCAGCACACACCACAGACACAGTCTGTACGAACAGCCTTAGTCCAGCTGTAATGGAAGTTAAACTGCACGAACCAACATACAAATGTATCAGTGCAGATGTAAAATCCAAGCAAGTAAGGCAAACGATGCAATCCAGGGACAAAGGGCTCTGTCCAAAGTGCCTTAAGACCCAATAACTTAAAGGGCCAGCATCCCAAGGTAAGAGGCTAGCAATCCAGCTTCTCCATAAGACAGGGCAGTTTGTCACATGAAACCCCGGTGAAACCTCTTAGATCAATTTTAATTTTCAGATCCCTTTCCCACTTAGTCTTAGCTGGAGGATGGATCTGCACTTTAATTGAATTCAATATCTCAACGCATTTTGTTAATAACTTTGTATTTTTTCCCGAATTTATCAGTTTATTCAATTTAAAAGCTGGAGAATGCTCTTTCAAATGAGGTACGACTCTATGTAAGAAGCTTTTTATTCTTATAAAATTAAAGTTCTGGGATAATGGGATACTGAAAACAGTGCAAAGATTGTTAAAGGACATAATATTATTTCCATCAAATAAATCTGAAATTCTCTTAATACCATGTCTAGTCCACTGACTGACGTCTTTATTTTCTATCCATTTCCTTAGATATCTAAACGGTAATGCCGGCAAAATGTTATCTTTCAAATCCATTTGTTTTTTGAAATAAGTCCAGTATTTAACCTGAGGTTTTGATATTATGTCGTCTGTTTGACATAACTTATATTTATTACGGGCTAAAATTTTTATAGGCCACATCAGTTTAACTATATTATGTGGCTCCGAAATATCCTTTCCCTCTAATTCATACCAATCCTGTGGATGTGTGTCTTGGTTAATTGTAGTTACTGTATGCATCAGCTGGGCAGCTTGATGATACAAAAAATATTAGGAAATCCTGCTCCCCCTTGTTTATATTTTAAATACATAAGTTCTTGTCCTATTCTAGGCTTCTTGTTAAGCCAAATATAATTTCTGAAAATCTTATTAATATTTGTTAGCCAGTGAGGTTGAATCGGTAATGGAATCATCCTTAATAAGTAAATAATCTTAGGAAAGATATAAGCCCTTATAGAGTTAATTCTTCCCCACCAGATTGGCTCTCATAATATTTTCAGGGTCACGAACTATAATTATCCCCAAATATACAAAACTTTTCCTCTCCCATCTAAAATCATATTGTTCATTTAAGAAATTATATTCAGCCACATCCATATATAAAGGCAATACTGTTTTTTGAATGTTAAGTTTTTAGTTTGTAAGAAAGCTAAACTGCTTTATTTCTATTATTACTGCTGGAACCGAATGCGATGGATTCGATAATGTTAACAGAATATCATCAGCGTACTGGCTTATCTTTGGATCTTTATCTTTCTTATGCAAGACTGTTATATTAATGTTCAAATGTATGTCATGAGCCAAAGGTTCCACCACTATGATGTAAAGAAGTGGGGATAGTGGGCATCCCTGACACGTACCATTTGAAATCTCAAACCAATCCGACCTAATTCCCCCTCCCACTATCCTGCCCGATGGAGAGGAGTAAAGGGCCATAATTGCCGAAAGGATCTGTCCCGAAAAACCAAAAGCCTCTAGGGTTGATTTCATGTAGTTCCAGTTAACCCGATCAAAGGCTTTCTCGCCATTGAGCGCCATGATAAGAAAGGGTTTTTTTGTGGCATGTACCTTAGCATAGATATTTATAATTTTCTTGATATGATTAGACGATGATCTCCCGGGAACAAATCCTACTTGATCTTCCAATATTAAGCTCGTAATTATACTTTTAATTATTTTAGATATAATTGATGCACACATTTTATAATCATTATTTAGCAAAGCTATCGGCCTATAATTGGCAATCTCTTCTGAATTTTTTTTTTGGTTAAAGTATAGGAGCGATATTAGCTACTAACATCTCGTGTGGCAATTTCCCCGTGGACATAACTGTATTATAACATTCCCTTAAACCTTGAACGAGCCTATCTTTGTAGATTTTGTAAAAAAAATCCACATACCCATCAGGGCCTGGTGCTTTATTTTTTTTCATTGCCTCTATAATTTCTTGGGCTGAAATATCTTCATTCAGTTTACTTATTTGTGAATATGTTAATTTGGGCAAATTCTTATCTAGAAAATATTTTTGTATATCTTCTTGAGTAGCTGTTACTGATAAGTTGTATAAATTATGATAATATTCTTTAAAAGCCGCCCCAATTTTAAATGGGTCAATTATTACTTCATTATCTAGTTTTATTTTATTTATTAATTTAGCCTTTTGATATGCTTTAACTTTACTAGTAAGAAGTTTATCAGCTTTATTTCCTCTATAAAAAAAAAATAGTTTTCATATATTGTAAATTTCTGTTGGCTTTAGCTATTAAGATATCATTAATTTTTCTCTCAGTTATCCTTATTTGATTTGCTCGAGATCTTGTAGGGGAAGTTATATTTATTTTGTTACATTCACTTAATTCTATATATAACTCTGAAAGAGATTTCCCTTTACTTGTTTTATCGTCCGCAGCCATAATAATTAAGTGACCTCTTATGACACTTTTAAATGCACACCATTTTATCATTTTGGTTGTCTATCCAATATGTATCTATTGCTTTAGAAATTTGTTCTCTATTGTCTTCCGACATTAATATTTTCTTGTCCAATTTCCATTCTGGTCTTTGTCTAGTAAATTTATCTTTCAAGTGGACCTTTACCATATTATGGTCAGACCAAGTGGTGGACAATATATTAGAGGATTTTGTTCTACCCAGCAGATTACGTTCTATTACGATTAAATCAATTCTTTAATACAAACAATGCGTCTTGCTAAAACAAGTAAAATCTCTATCGGTAGGATGGAATATCCTCCAAAGGTCCAAAAGAGCTGCATTTTGTATGATATTACTCAGTTTCTTAGATTGATTAAAGACATTCTTGGAGGGTATTTTACCTTTTTTCAGACCTCTTACCTAATTTGGGATCGATTACAGAGTTGAAGTCACCTAAAACTATAAGAGTTCCTTGCTTAATTTTTTCTGCTTTCGTTAGGACTTTTTGTATAAACTGTAATTGTGAAGAATTCGGTGCGAAGATATTTACTATTGTATATAATTCTTCATCAATACCACAAATTAATATAATCCATCTGCCCATTTTATCTATACTCTGATGTTTTATAGAGACATTTATTTTAGATGAAAAAAAAATTGCTACTCCTCTTTTCTTTTTCTCTTTAAGTGACGAACATACTGAAAGAGGAAAATCTCAAAATCTAAATCGCCCTTCATCAGCTTGTCGCCAATGCGTCTCTTGTAGGCACACTATATGGGAATTTTCTGTTTTCATACGATCAATTACTATTTTCCTTTTTTGGGGTGAATTAAGACCTTGTACATTGATAGTCACAAAATTTACCATTTATCAAAAAAAAATTTATGACTTGTATCTTGTTGACTATCAATAAAGTCATGATGTCTTCTATTGACTTTCAAACATTTATACATAAGTATCAATTTTCCTGGATAGATTTCTATTTCCTTTACCCTCCACATAAGTCACTGTGGAGAGACTAAGACTAACATTAAACATTTTGACAAATTCAAACATACTAATACATACAAACAACAGAAAAAAAAACATCCCTTTAAGGAAGTCTGGATGGTTTTGGTGAATATCCCCTTTCACCAAACCGTCCACCTGGATCCCTACTGGGATCAATTGTATGATGCTGAATACCTCAATGAAAGAGAGAAATACTTTCATTAACATATAAATGGGGAAAAAAAATTATAGATATGTATATATATGTATTCCCCTTCATCTTCTTTAATATTTTCTCTATTAATAAAATTTCATATTTATATCGTATATTTCTTCAAATCCAGCCCTCTTTCCCCTTTCCTCTTCCCTATCCCCCTCCCCTCCTTCCTTTAATCCCATTTGAGAGTACATTCTTTTTCCTATTTCCCTATTATTACTTTAGCTCTTTAGTTAAATAATTAATTAAATCATAACCATGAATAAATATATTTCTATTATATTGTGCTACTTATGTCAATCCTTAAACCTAGTATTTATTGATTATGTTCACACTCTAACTTTTTTATTCCATTTTTCTTGTGTAATATTTGTGACTTCTATTCTTTCTATAATCTCACTAATTCTCAACCAGTCTTTATCAAATTAGATATAGTACACCATTAATACTTTACTACTAACCTCTATTATTAAATCGTTATTGTGCATACTAATATTTAAATTACATTCATAACACTAAGTGTAACTTTACCTTTTAATATCTTCTTGTACGGTACTCCCTGTGACTAACTACCCTATTGTGCTACTAACATAGCTAATATGAACTCTCTTTCACAGAAGAAGAAGAAAACGAAAAAAATAAATAAATACATACATACACATATCTACATATGAACACATACTATTCAAATAGTGACAGCAAATTTCATATCATTAAACCATTTTTCTATAGCCGGTACATCAGAGAATTAATACGTTTTTGCCTCATAAGAAACCACAATTTTACTTGGGTATCTCCACGAGTATCGAATATTCTTTTGCCTTAGGATCTTTGTATGTGCTGAAAACGGTTTTCTTTTCGTCCTGGTATGGTATGATATGTCTGGAAAAATTACAATATCTTTGTATGGTTCTATTAATCTAGTCATTCTTGCTGATCTTAATAGTTGCTCTTTTATCTTATATGATGCGCAACATATAAGTACATCTCTTGGGGCGTCTTGTGCTATTGTTTCCGGTTTCATAATTCTGTGACACCGCTCTAGCATCTGTAAGGGATTTGACAATTGAATATCTAATTGTTGAAAAAGATTCAGAATATAATCTTGCAGTTTTTCATGAGTAATTATCTCTGGAATTCCTCTAAGTCTTAAATTATTACGCCTCATTCTGTCTTCTAAGTCAGTGATTTTTAATTGCAAATCTGCTATTCTTTTCTTGGCGTTTTCTTGAACATCTTCCGCTATAGCTTGCTGGTATTCTAGAGATTCTATTTTTTCTTCATTAATTTTAACTTTCTTCTCTATTAATAGAATTTCAGTTTTAAATTCCGTAAGGCCCACCTGTATTTCATTTTTTATCTTATCAAATTGGCGTTCAAAAGTACTCATGTATTTCTGCAAGATTAACCTCTTTTTGGTTCTGTTTTAAAAGTTCCTTCTGTGGTGACGTGATTTCTATTTCTTTAAGTGTTTGAAATGAAGTACCTCTTTCATTTTGTTGCTCTAACTCTTGTCTCTGTTGTTGCGACAAAGTAGAGGCAGATTTTCTGGTCTAATTTCCAGATTCCTCTCTTTCTCTCTCTTCGTTAGTTGTTTACCTTCTTGGACCTTTTTTGCTGCCATGAGAGAGAGGGAGGAGAAAAAAAACATTTTCTCTTATTTCTTCTCTTTCCTCTTCTCCTTTCCCCTATCGTGAATCTTCCCGCTGGGTTGTAGCTTTAGGGATTCTTCCAATGCTGTAATTTACATCTATTTATGTTATAATCAATTGCTCTGGATTAAGTCTGGCTTTTGTGCTAGTCTCTGGTCGTTTTGCTATTATTCCTTCTTATCTTTTATTTTTTTGGTAATTTTAAGCTTCAAGCATTTACAAAGATAAGTTAGTCCAATCAAAAAAAAAAAAACAAGCAGAGAAAAAAAAAATAAGATTGTATGCCTTAATGCTTTAATTTGTAATCCCTTTAAAGGTGTGTCCATATTTTGTTAGGCAACAGCCGATTTTCTACGCTCATTTTTCTCTATCATTTCTTCGTTTCTTTAGCAGGCATTTAAATTTATAACAAGTCTGCCATCTGATTTTTGTATCTTTCTATAACTTTTTTTCTTACATTTCTTTTTTTTTTTCTTTTGCCTTCAATTATTTTGCCACCCCTTTACCCTTTCACTTTCTCCCACCTTTATATTTATATTTGATTTCTTTCCTTTACACTTGTCTTACTTTGTCTCTCCATGCTATATATTATATGTGGAACGCAAACAGTAGAGAGAGAAAGGAAAGAGAGAGGAAAAAAAAAAAGTGCATCGGTAAGTCCGCCAGGGACCCACCCCACGCTCTCACCAACACCGACGCCTCCTCTGTCTCACTCGCTCCCCTTCCTCCAATTATTCTCGAGGCAGACAGGCAGGCTTAACTCCCAGGACTTCAGCGTCTCTGTACGGTGTTACTAGTACCACTTTCCTCTTTCCGCTTCCCGCTTTCCGTGGTGAGTGCTTAGGGTGTTAGGGGAATTTTGGCAAGATATTTAATCCGAGATGTATACTAACATCAAACCGGCGGGTCTCCTCTACGAGCTCTCTCCTTCAGGGCATTAGCATCACCGCGCTCGTGGGTGTGCGCGCCCATGCGTACGTCCTACGTCATCACTTTTATTGAACCCACTGCCACACAACATTTCGACCTGAACGGTCTTTGTCAAGCCATCAAATGCATACACAGGTACAAATTTATAGGAACAAGTGATTACAATAACTAACATAATTTACCCAATTTACATAATTTAAACAATCAAGGAATTAAGTTAATGCACTCCAGTGTAGCTTACCCAGAGATAAAGGTCGTCAGCTGTGTCATCAATCAAAACCCAGTAACGCCTGATTAAATTAATAATTAAATTATGTATTATAGTTTGAAACAGTTTAAGTCCCGCCAGAAAAGCATTTCCGTCAGGTGCGTGACATCGACGTAATGACATTTCATGCAACCTATATACTGACGTCTTACTCCCCACGAAAATAAGAGCATGCGCTGTGCACGAGTCGGACGCACATGCGCTGAAAAGAGAATATATGTTACACTCAACCAGGGGGCATTTACATACTGATGTCTTACTCCCCACGAAAATAGAAACATGCGCTGTGCACCAGTCAGATGCACATGCGCTGAATAACAAAGTATCAGTGCGCACTGGGTCTAAGACTTAATAAGCCAGAGTGGCCACAAGAAGAAGAACATTACCAGCAAAATGGAGAAACAAGGGCCCCCAAAAGATGAAGAAGATACAATAATCAACTTATCTTCTAACGTCCTATCTGAAGAAGAAACCTCAGTCTTGAAAAAAGGTCTGACATTTTGTCCAGTTAAATAGACAGTGAAATGACAGTGGCACATATAAGAAAGTACTAACTGACCCTACACTAGTTCAAAAAATAAGACTGATACCATATTAAAAGAAGCATTAGACAACAATATCATTGTTGACTTTTATTTATGATGGAGAATTATTTTGCCTTTAGAGAGGGATTTTTTTGTACAAATTAAGGATACGTCGATGGGCTCCAATGTGGCCCCCACATATGCCATCATTTATATGGCCAAACTTGAAGAGACAATATACAAAAATGATCTGTATAAGAAATACATTACACATCGGTGGCGTTACATTGATGATGTGCTGGCATTGTGGTGTGGCCCATTGGAGCCCCTCAGTTTTTTGGTTTTCTTAATGAGTGCTCAGAAACTGTTAAGTTTACTATGGTGATGGATTTGGAATCCATCCCATTTTTGGACATTCTGATCTCCAAGGGAGATGAGAAATTGAATACGGGCATCTACAGAAAACCCCTTGATAAAAACACCATTTTACATGTTTTGATAGTTTTCATCCCCCCTCTATGTTCAGAGCTATCTCAAAAAGTCAACTTTTGAGGGTTAAAATATTGGTCTCTAGAACTGAACAGCTGGACCAGCATCCTGACCAGAGATTATGTAGGAGAGGATATCCTATATCCATTATCCAGAATCAACTGTCCAATATAGATAGACCAAATGTGATTCTCCCTGACAGTGGACCCAATAAAGACAACAGACTTAAACTGATTTCTAGATTTGGTACAATGTCCACCAGACTAAAAAGAGTGATAGATAAACATTGGCACATATTGGCAGACTGCCATCCTGAGATAATTGAGTTTAAAATGAAACCAATGCTCATTCTCAAACGTGCTCCATCCATTCGGGATAAGTTGGTTAAAGCCAAACTAACAATATCCCCCAAGACAAGTGTGGCAAACCTAGCCACTTTAGGTCATATTGCAGAACATTTAAAGGTTGTCTGAAATAGCTGTGTTAACCTGGTGTAAAAATGTATTTGTGTGTTTTAGAATAGAGAGCATGCATAGGCTAACAGCCGTGAATAAAATTGTCAGTTGACTCCCTGAACTGTGTTTCGTCCGGTTACTGTGGGATTTGGGATATTGCCTTCTTTTCCAGCGCTTTACTTTGGATTACCTTCTATACCAGTGGAGACCTTGGGATGCGCTACAATTGGTGGCAAGCGACGGCATCCAACCTTACAGCCGAAAAGCGGTGTTCGGGTAATTGAAACTACCGAACAGGAAAGTGAATGGCAATTCAGATACAACAAAGAACCGAACACAGAGGTGAATGGAGACAGACTAGAGTGCATTGAAACGGCAGACATTAAAGGAACTATTGGAAGCCAGGGGTAAGATAGCCAGTAATAAGCCAAAAGATGTGCTGATTGCTGAATTGATGGAGGGAGACATCAATTCAGCAATCCAGTACCCCAAAGCAGTAGCCCTCTCTAATATCTACGCCGAGACAGTGGCCGAGGCCTTAATGGGGTTCCCTCAGGTGGGGTTCCCCCAGGAGATCATATCGGATAGGGGTATGCAGTTCACGGCCGAGGTGACCCACCAACTATGGAGAATATGTGGCAAGGCCCATACCAGGTGGTGGAACAGAAATGTGACGCCACCTATGTGATTGGCCCCTGCTCAGGGAAAGGGAAGAGATGCATGCTCCACGTGAATATGCTCAAACCCTACCATGAGAGGATAGAGGACGTGGCGGCGATATGCGCTTCAGCCTCTGAGGATCAGGAGAATCTTCCGCTACCTGACTTATTAGAGCGGGAAGATCAGGCAGAGGCCTCCACAGGTGTTCAGCTGGGGGAGCGGCTAAGTCCTCAGGAGCGTGCCCAGGTACAGGAGTTAATCGCGGCTAAGGGAACCACATTCTCCAATTTACCAGGGTACACCGAGTTGAGACCCCCGGACAGCTACCTATGCGGCAGACCCCATACCGTATCCCGGAAGCGGTCAGGAAACATTTGAGGAAGGAAATTGAGGAAATGTTGCAGCTAGGGGTTATTGAACATTCTGATAGCCCATGGGCATCGCCGGTAGTGCTGGTACCCAAGAAGGACGGCACAACACGCTTTTGTGTAGACTACCAGAGGCTAAATGACAAAACAGTGTCTGATGCCTACCCGATGATGCCCTGGATAGACGAGCTGCTAGACCAAATGGCACGAGGCCAGTACCTTACTACAATAGATTTATGCAAAGTGTACTGGCAGATTCCACTAGCCGAGGATGCCATCCCCAAGTCGGCATTTGTCACCCCGTTTGGCTTGTATCAGTTTTGCGTCATGCCATTCAGGATGAAAAATGCTCCGGCTACCTTTCAACGGATGGTGGATCGGCTACTGGATGGATTTCAGGAGTATGCATGTGCATACCTGGATGATATCGCCATCTATAGCCAGACCTGGTCAAACCACCTGCGACATATTGGAACAGTCATTGACCGTATCGGAGAGGCAGGGTTGATGCTAAAGCCCAACAATTGTCACATAGGGATGGCAGAGGTACAGTACCTGGGGCTTCGGGTGGGGAGTGGACAGCAAAAGCCTGAACCAGCAAAAATTGAAGCAGTAGCTAAGTGGCCTACCCCCCGGACAAAACCCCAGTGCTAGCCTTCCTGGGTACTGCAGGGTACTACCGAAAATTCGTACCCAATTATAGCGCCCTGGCCCAACCCCTGACTGACTTGACCCGCAAAAACCTTCCTCAACAGGTCATCTGGGCCCCAGAGTGTGATCAGGTGTTCCAACAACTCAAGACTGCTTTAACCAATGCACCTGTACTTGCTGCTTCTGATCCAACTAAACGATTTCTTGTCCACACAGATGCTTCAATGTTTGGATTGGGAGCAGTGCTGAGCCAAGTTGGAGCAGATGGCAGAGAACATCCCATAGCTTACTTAAGCCAAAAGTTATTACTCCGTGAAGTGAGCTACGCTGCCATTGAGAAAGAATGCCTGGCCGTGGTGTGGGCCCTCAAAAAGTTGCAGCCTTATTTATATGGACAACCTTTTTCCCTACTCACAGATCACAACCCGTTGGTGTGGCTGAACCGTGTGGCGGGGGACAATGCCAGGCTGCTGCGCTGGAGTTTGGCGCTGCAGCCTTTTGACTTCACTATTCATTACCGCCCAGGAAAGCAAAATGGTAACGCCGACGGGTTATCTAGACAGACTGACCTTGAGAAGTGATCTGTGAGTACTCCTCCGGACATCCCAAAGCCGATCCGTTGGGATCAGACTGTGTATGCTGGCTTGGTTCTGGGGGAGCATTGTGGCAAACCTAGCCACTTTAGGTTATACTACAGAACATTTAAAGGTTGTCTGAAATAGCTGTGTTAACCTGGTGTAAAAATGTATTAGTGTGTTTTAGAATAGAGAGCATGCATAGGCTAACAGCCGTGAATAAAATTGTCAGTTGACTCCTGGAGCCGTGAATAAAATTGTCAGTTGACTCCTGGAGCCGTGTATAAAATTATCAGTTGACTCCCTGAACTGTGTTTAGTCCAGTTACTGGTGGATTTGGGATATTGCCTTCTTTTCCAGCACTTTACTTTGGATTACCTTCTATGCCAGCGGAGATCTTGGGATTTAATATTGCAGCTCCGCTACAATAAGACAAGTCCAAATAAAAATAAAAATGGAAATTTTCCATGCTACAATTCTGTGTGCTGCAATTCCATGATTAGAGGATCTATGTTCTACCATCTCCACAAAGGCAAAAAGTACTTAGTCAAACAGTTTGTTACATGTAACACTACACATGGTCTATACTTTAAAATGTCCATGTGGACTATTATATTGAAAGAAAGATTTTCAAAACACAATTCAATGATCAAAACTAAAATGTTAGAATTAATGATCCCTTCACATTTTTCAGAGGCACGTCACACTATAGCACAATTATAATTCCAAATCATTGAACACAAAGAAAAATTCAGACGTGGAGATAGACAGAAAAGGCTGTTATTTAGAGAAGCTCATTGGGTAAAAGAACTTGATACCATGGCTCCTAAGGGACTTAATCATGAATATGACCTCAATCCGTTAATATAGATTTACTTAAATTTGTTTTTAATCATGTGATATTAATTACTTTGTTTTGACTTTACAGATTATCATCAATCTGTGGTGTTGGTGACTGTTCTATTAGATGCACATCAAGTATGGGCTTTCCAGGCTGTCATGGGAATTCTAAAATCAATTTGGTAGTTTCTTTATCTCTATAGTCTCCAATATAATATAACCCTATTTTTTTTTATAACTCTAGGATATGGTGCAGATTGAGAAATAAGCACGTTATGCACTTTAATAATTATTTGTAAACAATTTTATTATTCAATAATTATTTTAAACAATAATTTTTATACTATAATATGACTATATAACTTCTATATCTTTATGATATGGTGTAGTTTGATAAATAAGCATGTTATACATGTTAATTCTTTAGCCTCTTAAAGAATTACCGTATTTTTCGCTCCATAAGACGCACCTCACCATAAGACGCACCTAGTTTTTAGAGGAGGAAACCCAGAAAAAAAAATATTCTGAACAAACTGTTCCATAGTGTTTCTTACCATGGGACAGTTTGTTCAGAATATTTTTTTTTCTCCCCTGTCCCATAATGATCTTTAACCCCCTTTCCTCTGTCCCATAGTGATTGTTAACCCCTCCTACCCTGTCCCATAGTGTTCTTTAACCCCTCCTCCCCTTGTCCATTAGTGTTCTGATCCCATAGTGTCCCCCCCTCCCATTGTCCCATAGTGCACTTTCCCTCCCATAGTGTCTCCCCCTCCCCTTGTCCCATAGTGTCCCCCCCTCCCCTTGTCCCATAGTGTCTCCCCTCCCTTTCTCCCATAGTGTCCCCCTCCCCTTGTCCCATAGTGTCTCCTCCCCTTCCCTTGTCCCATAGTGTCTCCTCCCCTCCCCTTGTCCTCCCATAGTGTCTCCCTCCCTTTCTCCCATAGTGTTTCCCTCCCCTTGTCCCATAGTGCTCTCCCCTCCCCTGTCCCATAGTGTCTCCTCCCTCCCCCTTTGTCCTATAGTGTTCTCCTCCCTTTCTCCCATAGTGTCTCCCCCTCCCCTTCTCCCATAGTGTCTCCCCTCCCCTTCTCCCATAGTGTTCCCCCTCCCCTTCTCCCATAGTGTCTCCCCTCCCCTCCCATAGTGTCTCCTCCCCTCCCATAGTGTCTCCCCCTCCCCTTGTCCCATAATTACTTACCTGTCTTGGAGCGTGGGCCGGCTTCACAGCGCGCTCCGCGGTCCAGGAACTTCTATTTCAGGTTCCGGTTTCCGGCGGGACTGAAAGGAAGTGTGCACACTCAGTGTGCACACTTCCTTTCAGTCCCGCCGGAAACCGGAACCTGAAATAGAAGTTCCTGGACCGCGGAGCGCGCTGTGAAGCCGGCCCACGTTCCAAGACAGGTAAGTAATTCTTCACATTCGCTCCATAAGACGCACAGACATTTCCCCTCACTTTTGAGGGGAAAAAAAGTGCGTCTTATGGAGCGAAAAATACGGTAACATGTATAACATGGTTAGATGTAAATAACTCACTGGTTAATGAGACACATCATAAATGTAACTTTTTGTTTTACATTAGATTTTCCCTTGCAGGGGTACATAAGAAAGAGATAGGAGGTGGGTAGGGGTAGGTGGGAGTTGCAGATGGTAGTGATAGCGGTACCATCGCAGGGTACTCTTTCGGCCTTGAGGGCACAGTTACATAGATAGTTGCAATATACGTTAATGGGATTGGTACTAACGCAGGGTACGTATTCATACATAGTTGTATTTTGACACAGATGAGTGCGGTATACATTAGTGGAATTGCACCATTGTTAGTGCGTTGCCATGCCTCGTGTTAACTTTATATGTGTGGTTGCCGTATTCAGTAGCGTAGTGGGTCCATCACAGAGTCTGTAGTCAGGCGTATTGGCACCTTTGCTTTTGTGTGTTGTGGTGCTGTACCTGTGCCTGTAAGTGGTTTAAGTCACCTATGCTTCATGTTTGCATTGTCGTACTTCCTATGTCTATTTTATGAGTCAGTCTGAGTCTTATTTTTGAGGTCGTCTTCGGGGGTGGGGATGGGTTTGGGGGTTTGGGTGTGGGGGTGGGTTCACAGTCCGATGGCAGCCCGAGGCGCGCCCCCTCCTTTGAGGGTTGTGGGGTGGCATTTGTTGGATGAGGGTCACAGTGTCATGTGGGTCTGTTGCTCGGGGGTGTATGTACTGAAGTTGTTGGTTGTTTTTCTGGGGTGTTGAGGTTTTCTGTCTGGTTTTCTATCGGGTGTGGTTACCATGGTATGGACGTGTCTCCCTCCAGCCATGGGTCCCATATTTTGTGGTACTGTTTCGGAGAGTCATGTAATTGCGCTGTGAGTTTGTCCATTTGTGAGCTGTCATTTAATTTTTTTGTGATAATTTCTTGGGTCAGGATACGTGGTTGTGGACCACAGTTCTGCTATGGCCCTTCGTGTTGCCAGGGCGATGCAAGCTATGAGTTTGTTCTACGCTCTGGTGAATGGTTCTAATGGTTTAGAGAGTAAAAGTGCCCAGGGGTCTGTGGGGCAGGGTTTCACAGTTAGTTTAGTGATTAGTTGTGTGACACTTTGCCAGAAAGGTTGGAGTTTCGGGCATGTCCACCAGCAATTTAGGAACATACCCTTTTCACCGAATTGTTTCCAACAGGTGTTGGATGGTATTTGGTGCATGATTGCAAGGCGTTGTGGCGTTAAGTACCAGCAGAATAGCATTTTGTATGCCTGCTCTGTATGTGTGATGCAGATCGATATGGAGGCTGTTGCCTCCCAGATGTCTGACCAGTCTGTGGCCTCCTCCGGAGGGTCAAGGTCTGTTTCCCATGCTGCTATGTATGGGAGGGATAGTTGTGTGTGGTGGTTAGCTAGAGTCATGTACATGTTGGAGTCTTGATATATCTCATTGATCGAAGTGGGCGAAATGTTTTGGGGTGAGCCCCGGTGGGAACAGTTTGTTCCTCCAAATCGGAGTCATGGGGGAGAGGAATGAGGACAGTTCAAATTTGTCTCTTAGTATGTCCCTGAGGTCGAGTGTGTGGGTGATTGTGGGCGGTAGGGGTCTATGTGGGACCACCCATCCCATGTAGAGGGATGGGTGGTCCCAGCCGAAAATCAGGTGTTCAAGGTCCACCCATCGTTTTTTCCCAGGCGGGACGTGCCACTGCTGTATTTGCACTAGGTGTGTTGCCGAGTGGTGGTGTGATACATTGGGGAGTCCCAGGCCTCTGCATTTTTTGGGGGCACATACAGGGTGCTCCTGCGTACTCTTGGTTTGCGTCCATTCCAGATGAATGCATTTATTGCCGATTGTAGGGTTTTGAAGTCTTGTTTGTGGTTTGGTATTGGGAGAGTTTCGAAGAGGTATAGGAATCTAGGGAGGAGATTAATTTTAATCAAGGTGATGCGTCCTAGCCAGGAGATCCCCAGGGGTCTCCATTTTATTAAGTCCTCGTGGGATTCATGTATCAGTGGGGTGTAATTTTTTGCGTATAAGTCTTTTGTGTCTGTTGGTAGTTTGATCCCTAGGTATGATATGTCTGTGTGGCATATTCTCAGTGGGAATGTTTGTTCGATTCTGGTCAGGCACTGAGGTTCTATTTGTATGGGTAGGAGCTCGGATTTGGTTAGGTTGATCTTGTACCCTGAGTAGTTTTGTATGATGCTGAGGAGGGGGCAGAGCGACTGTTCTGGGTTGGTCAGCGTTAGTAGCATATCGTCGGCATAAGCCGATACTTTGAATGTTTTCCCTCTTACTTCGATCCCCTTGACCTCCCGCCTGGCTCGGATTGCTTCGCCAACGAGAGGGCGAAGAGTAAGGGTGACAAGAGGCATCCTTGGCGGTGCCGTTCAATATAGGAAAGTGTGGGCAGCAGGAGTGCACCTTGTGGTGAGTTGTATATAGTGGGTAGGAAGGAGGTGAATTCTGGTGGTAGCCCGATGTGTGACAAGGTTCTATAGAGAAATGGCCATTGTAGGCGGTCGAAGGCCTTTTCTGCGTCTAGGGATATTATTGCTGTTGGGGTTTGTCTGTGGTTAGCCAGCCAAATGAGGTCCATGACCCTCCTGGTATTGTCAGCTGCTTGTCTGTGGGGAAAAACTCCACCTGATCCGGGTGGATGAGGGTTCAGTCTATTGGCCATTATCTTGGTCATAATATTAAGATCTACGTTAAGTAGCGAGATTGGCCTGTAGTGGGCGGGTTCTGTGTGATCTTTGCCCGGTTTGGGTAGGAGGCATATGTTTGTGCTTGTTATTTCGGGTGGTAGTGTTTCTCCTCTGAGTGTGGCGTTGAATACCGCGCAGAGGTGTGTGAGGAGTAGGGGGTCAAATTCTTTATAGTATAGGGCCGTGTAGCTGCCTGGTCCTGGACTTTAATTGGGTTTGAGTGACCCTACTATCTGTGCCATTTCTTCCACCGTGACTTCCTTTCCTATTGTGTTTTTGGCTTCTTGGGACATTTTGGGGAGCGTTGCGTTGTGTAGGAATGTGTCTATTATTAATATTATAATTAATATAATTTTTGTTTGAGCCACATAAGGGCTTTAGCCGTGTCTGCCTGTGTAAGGGATTTGAGAAGGTCCCTAGTGGCTGTCAGTTCCGCAGTGTGGTGGGGTTCGGGTGTTTTTTGTGTTCAGTTTCTAGGCGGCATAGTGTCGCCATTGCTTCGGATATTTGTTGATGGGCTTGCTTTTTCTTGTATGCTAGGCTGATGAGAGTACCCCTGATGACCGCTTTTTGTGCGGCCCATAAGGAAATAGGTGTGGTTGCAGTAGGGGAGTTCAGTTCGAATTATTCTTTGATTGCTTTGGCTGTTTTATCTCTAATCAGCTTATCGTGCAGTAGCAGGGGGTTCAGTCGCCAGGTCCATTGTTTATGTATTGTTGGTAAATTTATGGTGATTGCTATCTCAGCATGATCAGACCAGGAGATTGGGCAGATGTCTGAGTTGGTGACATGGTTTATTATATTCAGGGGTTATTAGTGATCTATGCATGATAGATTCTACAATGCTAGGAACTGGGCAAAAAGGGTGTCGTTTTGGTACGAGTGGGTGCGTGTGGTGTTGTGTGATGTTCTGTCAGTGGTGGGTGTGTGGACTGCATTGCAGTCGCCTCCTACTATGAGGTGGGTGGATGAGAAGGTGTTGAGGTGGATTGCAAGTTGTTGCCAGAAGGTCGTGTCTGTTGTTGTGGGTGCATATACTGATGAGAAAGCATATGTTATTGTACAGATTTTCCCTTGTATCGTGATATAGCAGCCCTGTGGGTCTTTTGTGCAGGTGATGTCCATTTAGGGGGCAGTTTGCTTTCAGGACTATTGCTACCCCTTTGGTCTTAGAATCTGGTGAGGGGGCGCTGTTTGTGAGGGGGAATGTGCAGTGGGTTGTGGGAGTGTGTTTCCTGGATAAGAAGGATGTTGGTTTGTTGTCTGCGTGCCCATCTGAGGATGTTGTGTCTCTTGGTAGGGGCATTTAGACCTTTTGCCTTGATGGAGGCACATCGTATGGTAGTTGGCATCGTGTTTGTGGTAGGGTTGTGCTCCCTTGGGGTAAGCGGTGTGGGTGGGTGTGAGCCACGTGCTTGGGCAGCCCCGGACCGTTTTCAGGGGGCGGGGGGAAAAGGCGTCAAGGGGTGAGGGTTGTCCTTCTGAGTAAAGGATGTTGTGTTGCAGTCTGGAGCGTTCACCTCGCCATGTAAAGCGTTTGACTGCGGTTTTCAGGGAAGAGAAGGTCGCCGGTATTGCCTGCAGAAGATATAGCACTCCGTGGATCACATTCATTTTAAGCACGGCTATGCGCCCATGCCACATTATATGAGGGAAGGCCCATCTGGTTAGATCCAACCTTATCGTGTGTAACAAGGGTTGGAAGTTGTTCTCGTAGAGTTTTCCTGGGTCTGTGGTTACCCAGATATTTCATCTTGCCGTGGCACCATCGAAACTCAAATTCAGATTCTAACGCCCTGTATTCAGCTGTGGGTAATGTAAGGTTCAGCACCTTGCATTTTGATAGGTTGAGCTTAAATCCTGCTATTTCGCTGTAGCGTTTAAACTCCGCCAGCAGATTCGGTAGGGTTATTCGGGGATGCTTAATGAAGAAAAGTAAATCATCGGCATACACCACCACTTTATGGGTCGTTCCCCTTCCTTCGTATCCCTGTATATTCGGGTTCGAGCGGATCGCCTGCAGGAGTGGCTCCAAGGACAGGGCGAATAACAAGGGGGAGAGGAGACATCCCTGCCGCGTACCATTGCTTATCGCAAAATTGGTTGTCCGGGCTCTGTTGACCCTCACGGAGGCTCGTGGTGTGCTGTATATGGCAGATATCCATGTCAAAAGGGTTCATCCTAGTCCCATCGCCTCTAGCATAGCCATCATGTACTGCTAGTTGACCCGATCAAATGAATTCTCTGCGTCCGTCGATAGCAGTAGAAGGCGTTCCCCCCTCTCCCTCGCCAGATGTTGGATGGAGAAGAGTCGTAAGGTGCTGTCTCGTGCTTCACGCCCGAGGATTAAGCCAGTCTTATCAGCGTGAATCAGATTCGGGAGGTAAGGTTGTAGAATTGTCACTAGCACTTCGGTGAACAGTTTAGTGTCAACGTTTATGAGGACTATCGGTTGGTATCTACCGCAGCATAGTGGGTCCTTTCCTGGTTTGAGCAATGTGACGAGACCAATCTCGCCACATTGCATTGGAGGAGCCTGGTTGCCCGCCTGCTGCCTTTGGATTATGGACCGGCAGTTAAACGGTTAATTTTACTGTGTAGAAAGATTTATTCCTTCTTTTCTGTACAGCCGTTCGGTAGATTCTATCTACCGAACAAACAGACTTCTATCAGCCTCCCCAGAGCCGTGGGAAGTCGGCTGGCGCCGTTAATTGGCCACCCAGAAGCTGGCGTGTGCCCTCCATTTACCTCCCTGAAGCCGCGGTTAACCGCGGCTTAACGAGCGTGTGCGGGCAATTGACCACCCAGTAGCTGCGGTTAACCGCAGCTTAATTGACTGTTACTGGGTGGTCGCGGTTACACCTAGCCGCCACACGATGGCGATGTTCTGGAGCTCCCCGGGCAGCCAGCGCTTTTCTGCCTGGCTTTCCTACGCCAAATCTGGACACTGTGTCAGCTAAGCACCGCTGAGCCTCCAGCCCCTGGTTCTAATGCGTACCAATTTAACGAATGTATGTAAATTCAGTATTTTATGTTGGAGGAATGTTTTAACCCAGATAGCCAAGCCATGGAGCCTGTTCGTGGAATTAAAGACTTTGGCTCCATGGCAATTAAACTGTATTTGTGTGGTCTGAGTGCCATTCACCTAGTAATGTGCACTCAGACCTGAGCTATCTGGGGATATGTTACATGTATATATTTATTGTACCATTTGTCCCATTATGTATTTTAAAGTGATAGTCTGTCTTTGTGTCCCCATGTGTGTAATGGAGTTTTGCCTTTGTCCTGGGAGATAATTGAATTACTTCTCCAGGGCAGAGGGGAGGAAGCCAGGATGCATTGTGGGGATGTTTTACTTCTGTATGTCTGTAATTGGTACATGTCTGTCTTTTGTTACAGTCTTCCATCTGGTCCCCTAGGGGAGTGTCCACCAGGTGGGAGACCTGCATAAATACTGGGCAGGTAGCCCTCATTAAACAGACCACTGCTTGACCCTCAACACGGAGCCTTGTCTCGTCTTTGGGGGGATTTACTGTATGCTGATAGAGACTGATTGCCAGGAGTGTAAGCTGATTGTCTGCTTTTCCTGTTCGTCTGCTAGCAGCTATTTGGGAGGTTCCAGTTCGGGAGTTGGAGTGCTATTTTGTATCCAGTTCGGGAGTTTGCTGTTCTGCAGTAGCTGTGCCTGTCTCGGAAAAGGGGATTATCGCCTAAACGGATTTTAACCCCTTGTATGCTGAAACGGTCCGTTACAAGCAAGATGGTTATCGTTGCTGACAGGGATTCTAGTCCGAAGCTCCCCCCTCTGCTACTGCGTTGAGGGGCTTTGCCAATTTTAGTGCCCTTCAGAGCAGAAGCAGCTCCTCTGTGCTGATAGGAGCATCCAGGGCCGCGGCTGAGTTTGAATCGATTACCTCCGTGATGTTGGTGTTTAGGTAGTAGGTCTTCAGGGTATGGTTATGTTGCCTTCATTCGTTCCCTCCGTGTGGTTGGAGGTTGTACAGGGATTGGTAGAAGTTCTTAAATTTGTCTGCTATCTCCTGAGGAAAGGGGGAGACCGTGCCTGATGTGAGACATAAGTTGCGGATATGTGTTTGTGGTCAAGTGCTTTTCAGGAGTCGGGCCAAGTACTTACCCCCCTTGTTAGCGTGGGTGTAGAAGAAGCCCTTTGAACCCTGCAGGGCACGGAGGTGCTTCTTCACTATTAGGTCTTTAAATGCTCTCCTGGCCTCCATGAGCTCTCCATATATTACGTTAAGGTGATTTCTTTTATGTTGTGCTTCTAGTGTTGAAATGGTCTTGTATAGTTCTGCCATTTCCAGGGTGGCCGCTTTTTTTTCTGCGATGCAATCCGAATGAGCGTTCCGCGGATTACACTCTTATGAGCTTCCCACAGTGTTATGGGCGACGTCCCTTCCCGGTCATTTTCTCTGAAGTAAAGGTAGAAATTATGTTGTTGTGTCTGATTTCATTTAAGTATATTTTGGATGTCAAGGAATTAGATTTTGATAAAAATTATATACTAAGTTAAAACAATAAAATAATAATTGGTAGTTTTTCATGTAGTTAGGAGGGCAAAAACTAGGATTAAAACTGTTTTATCTAACTTTCAAAATTTGTGTTTAGTAAATTGTCATTGGTGTATTTTTCTTTTGTGCTGCCTAGGCATAACTAAACTTGGACCCCCTAATCTAAATTTGCCCCACCCATTCCTGTCGAGGCTGCACCTTTTTAAGACTTTGACCGACAAACAGACACACACCCTCACTGATACATATACTGACATACACTTACTGACAGATACACAGTCATTGGCACACACACTGTTTAACCAACATACACTTTCACTGACAGACACACTAACACACCCACTCACTGACAGGCTGACACTCTTAGATACACACAAACTGACATACACATACTTCACTGATTTGACACACTCTGACAGACACACACACACACATTCACTAACTTACATGCACACTGAAAAACACACACATTCACTGACTGACACACTCACACACATTTTTTTACACTCACAGCCACCCTACCTTTGGGAGAGATGGGGTAGTGATGCCGCTAGTGATGCTTGGGCTGGAGTGACGTACAGGAGGGTACGCGAGAGAGCAAAGTAAGAAATGCATAGAGCAGGGTGTTACCTCGACGCCTGTATACAATATCCACAGCCACCCATCCACATGGGGCCCTAATGTGGCCAGCCGGGTAGCTCTTGGGCTCCTCATGAGACAAGGCTAGCAAGGCATCTGCCGGGGCATTTGGGGTGGGGTTTTTTTGCCATCCCCTTCAAAAATGCTGCCCAATACAAATGCCTTGTTAGCCTAATGGAAAATACAGCTCTGTATGCTGTTTTAAAATGTATGAAGAGAAAACTCATCCATTCAGGAAAGATTGATTACAATTACTAATATCATTTTGTAAACTTTATTGTCCTGCATTTTTAGCTACTTTGGATAGATGGATTAAAAATATTATGAATTTATCAGGTGTAGATATTTCCAAAATTCATTTAGAGGAACTAAGGCCACAAAGGTAGTTTGCGTGATATCCTCAAGGCAGCAGATTGGTAAGCCGTATAAAAAGAGAGGGAGGTTGGAGCAGCGCTGAACAACCACACAATAATATAAGGTAGGCAGCACACTTGAAAATAGGGGATTCCCTCTAAACCACAAAGAGAAAACTAAACAAGTAAGCAAAAGAAACAGGTTGCGACAATTTTTTTATTCTAAATATTTTATACTAAATTAATTAATTTTAGCTACTCTACTATTTAGTGTAAGCCATATACTTTTAGTTTATTTTATTTTTATATTAATATTACCTGGCATCTGGATTTACCTCCATATACTTCCGTGGAGTACCGTGTAAAGAATCCAAGGTGGGGATTATACCATCCACGTCTGATATATAGACCAGTCAGTCTGATCCACCTATTGTATGTATATCTATATTTTTTGTGTGTATACTTACCTCAATAGAGAACACTATTGGCTCCTTTTTTGTCATTTCATATTTTCTACTGTACCACCACCCTGCTGTGAACTACCGTCCTGTAAGTTGGAATAAAATACCACTGCATGCTGTTTTACTCAGTGTTGGTTTAAGCTCTATAATATGTGAGTTGGCATTTTTTAGACCTCTGTGTTGTCTGTTCCATATTTTATTTCTATATTGCCCTATTGGTCTTTTTCCGGTTTATGTTCTCCTACATATGCTGCTATCTAACCGAAGTTGCCCAACAAGCACATTATGAATATTGAATGAAAGATACTTCTAAGACTGTTTTTATCTGGTATTTTTTTTTATTTTTGATTTCTGGACTGTTACTAGACTATTTTTATTGTATTTTAGAGATCTTTCTAGATTCTTAATTTTTTAGATTTATGGCGCAACCTGCTTCTTTTGCTTACTTGGTAATCCGTATAAATCTTTAAATTAATTTGTTTTAAACATGGGGAACACATTTCATAAACAGTTATTAGATAAAATTGTTAAGCTTTAATTCCTGTCTGGAATAACATTTTTCTACTAATAGTGATGGAAAGTCCAATTTTATGAAAAACGCAAGTATTATGCCACCCTTTATATGCCCACCACATCCTACTTATTAATTTGTCTTTGTTTTTTCAGGTTAAAGATTTGTTCCTATTTATTGATGATGTATCTTTGAGGGTATTATTAAGAAGACAAGAACAGTTCTTTACAAGAGTTAATTCACTGGATTATTCAACTGGTTCTATGTTTCTCTAGAAATACATATAATTAATAAATTAAAGAAGTCACAGGCAAAGAAGACTGTAACGGACCGTTTTGCACACAAGGGGTAAAAACCGTTTAGGCGATCGGCCCCCTTTCCAGAGATGCAGGCACAGCTACTGCAGAACACCAAAACTCACGAACTGGATACAAAATAGCACTCCAACTCCCGAACTGGAACCTCCCAAATAGCTGCTAGCAGACGAACAGGAAAAGCAGACTAACAGCTTACACTCCTGGCAATCAGTCTCTAACAGCATACAGTGAATCCCCCCAAGAACGAGACAAGGCTCCGTGTTGAGGGTCAAGCAGTGGTCTGAGGTGCTGGCACACCCAGCCTGGTTTTTATTACAGTGTTTTCAAATACAGGACCGCTCACAGGGAGGTATAAAACAACCAATAACATCACAGTTACATCCCACATATTCCCTCCCATTATCCTGAGAGGAAACTCAATTATACATACAGTTAAAACATACTTTCTACCCAACTTTTATAACTCTAAAACCATACATCACATTCACATAAAATTACACATTCACCATCAATCCATTCAGGGGAACAACATATTAAAAAATGGCCTGAATCAGACCAGGGGTTCAAAAGTTAGTAAAAAGTCCTTTGTGACTAAATGAAGCATGGCTTTCTGGCCCAAACCAGTTTCAGAGTCTTCTATCCTGGAGATAAGTAATTCAATTATCTCCCAGGACAGACACAAGACTCAATTAAGCACATGGTTGCAAAGAGACACAAAACACTTTAAAATACATAAAGTCACATTTATACATAAAACACAGACATTTCACATATCCCCAGATAGCTCAGGTCTGAGCGCACATTATTAAGTGAATGGCGCTCGGACCACACAAATACAGTTTAATCACCATGGAGCCAAAGTCTTTACAGTCAGTTTCATACGAAGGGGCTCCATGGGATTCCCATCTGGGGTATACCACATTCAAACAAATCTACTGAAACCCAGGCAGAAAAGCACGAATACAGCTTTTCTGCAGGCAAAAATAAAGTCTTTTAAAAGGGGGCCATAGTCCAAAGGCAGCAGGCGAGCAACCAGGCTTCTCCAATGCAATGTGGCGAGATTGGTCTCGTCACAAAGACGTATAGAATTGAGAAGCAGTCACTTATGTAAGCTGGGACTGATAATGACTGGCTAATGTTCCATTTGAACAATAAACTTTCATGTATTTTAAATTTTGTCAGGTTTGGTTGATTTTAATGTTGCTGCAAACTGGAGTATTAGAGGAAGTAACAGCATAATAGTTGTCTCTTATCTAAAATTGTGGTGTTACATCACTATTGTTGGAAAAATCCAAAATTTTAAAATGCTAATAATCAAAACTAATGTTGTATAAATGTTATATTTCTATAAAATAGTTACATGGTAATTGCAACAAATGCAAAGAATATAAGTAGAGTTTAGCGAACCCGAACCGCAAAGTTTTTGGGACCCCGGACCCGAACACGGACATATCACTGTATGTTCGGGTTGGAGTTCGGTGTTTGGCAATTTAACGGCGCGGTTTGAAAGGCTGCAGGGCAGCCAATCAACAAGCGTTTGACTCTTGAGCCCTTAGAAGCCATCACAGCCATGCCTACTAGTGGCATGGCTGTGATTGGCCAGTGCAGTATGTGACCCAGGCTCTATATATAAGCTGGAGTTGCGTAGCGTCGCACGCACATGAGCTCCTATTAGTGTAGGGAGAGGATGCTGCAGGGACAGATTAGGAAAGAATTCTGCAAACTAGTACATTAGTGGGGTGAGTCAAATAGAAGCGTCAAATTGCAGTTTTAAAACTTACATTTTTTTGGTGCTAAAAAGTACATTAGTGTGGTGCACTTCATATTTGAGAGTCAAATAGCAGCGTCAAATACTGCGGTTACATCGGAGTTTTAAAAAGACAATTTTTTTTGGTGCTAAATAGTACATTTGGGGTGTGCACTTCAAATCTGAGAGTCAAACAGAGCGTCAAATACTGCTGTCACATTGCAGTTTTAAAACTTCAAATTTTTTGATGCTAAAAAGTACATTAGTGGAGTGCACTTCATATCTGAGAGTCAAATAAAAGTGTCAAATACTGCGGTTACAGCGCAGTTGTACAAATTCGAATTGTTTTGGTGCTAAACTGCTAAATAGTAAATTTGGGGCGTGCTCTTCATATCTGAGAGTCAAATCGAAGCGTCAAATACTTTGGTTACAGCGCAGTTGTAAAAATTCTAATTGTTTTGGTGCTAAACTGCTAAATAGTAAATTTGGGGCGTGCTCTTCATATCTGAGAGTCAAATAGAAGCGCCAAATAGTGCGGCTACAGCGCAGTTGTAAACATTCTAATTGTTTTGGTGCTAATCTGCTAAATAGTAAATTTGAGCCCTGCACTTCATATCTGAGAGTCAAATAGTGCGGTTACAGTGCAATTGTAAAAATTCTTATTTTCTGGGTGTTAATCTGCTAAATAGTAATTTTGGGGCATGCTCTTCATATCTGAGAGTTAAATAGAAGCGTCAAATAGTGTGGTTACAGCTCAATTGTAAACTTTCTTATTTTCTGGGTGCTAATCTGCTAAAGAGTAAATTTGGGCCCATCATATCTGAGAGTCAAATGGAAGCGTCAAATAGTTTGGTTACTGCGTAATTGTAAACATTCTTATTTTCTGGGTGCTAATCTGCTAAATAGTAAATTTGGGCCCTGCACTTCATATCTGAGAGTCAAATAGAAGTGTCAAATACAGCGGTTACAGCGCAGTTGTAAAAATTCTAATTGTTTTGGTGCTAAACTGCTAAATAGTAAATTTGGGGCGTGCTCTTCATATATGAGAGTCAAAAAGAAGCATCAAATAGTGCGGTTACAGCGCAATTGTAAACATTCTTATTTTCTGGGTGCTAATCTGCTAGATAGTAAATTTGGGCCCTGCATTTCATATCTAAGAGTCAAATAGAGGCGTCAAGTAGTGCGGTTACAGCGCAATTGTAAACATTCTTATTTTCTGGGTGCTAATCTGCTAAAAAGTAAATTTGGGCCAGCACATCATATCTGAGAGTCAAACGGAAGCATCAAATAGTGCGGTTACAGCGCAATTGTAAACATTCTTATTTTCTGGGTGCTAATCTGCTAGATAGTAAATTTGGGCCCTGCATTTCATATCTAAGAGTCAAATAGAGGCGTCAAGTAGTGCGGTTACAGCGCAATTGTAAACATTCTTATTTTCTGGGTGCTAATCTGCTAAAAAGTAAATTTGGGCCAGCACATCATATCTGAGAGTCAAACGGAAGCATCAAATAGTGCGGTTACAGCGCAATTGTAAACATTCTTATTTTCTGGGTGCTAATCTGCTAGATAGTAAATTTGGGCCCTGCATTTCATATCTAAGAGTCAAATAGAGGCGTCAAGTAGTGCGGTTACAGCGCAATTGTAAACATTCTTATTTTCTGGGTGCTAATCTGCTAAAAAGTAAATTTGGGCCAGCACATCATATCTGAGAGTCAAACGGAAGCGTCAAATAGTGCGGTTACAGCGCAATTGTAAACATTCTTATTTTCTGGGTGCTAATCTGCTAAATAGTAAATTTTGGGCGTGCTCTTCATATCTGAGAGTCAAATAGAAGCGTCAAATACAGCGATTACAGCGCAGTTGGAAAGATTCTAATTGTTTTGGTGCTAAACTGCTAAATAGTAAATTTGGGGCATGCTCTTCATATCTGAGAGTCAAATAGAAGCGTCAAATAGTGCGGTTACAGCGCAATTGCAAACATTCATATTTTCTGGGTGCTAATCTGCTATATAGTAAATTTGGGGCGTGCCCTTCATGTCTGAGATTCAAATAGAAGCGTCAAATAGTGCGGTTACAGCGCAATTGTAAACATTCTTATTTTCTGGGTGCTTATCTGCTAAATAGTACATTTGGGCCCTGCACTTTATATCTGAGAGTCAAATAGAACCATCAAATATTGTGCTTACATTGCAGTTGTAAAAATTCTTATTCTTTAGGTGCTTAAAAGTCAATTTGATGCCTGCACTTCATATCTGAGAGTCAAATAGAAGCGCAAATACTGCGGTTACAGCACAGTTGTAAAAATTCTTATTTTGTGCGTGCTAATCTGCTAAATAGTAAATTTGGGCCCTGCACTTCATATCTGAGAGTCAAATAGTAGCGTCAAATAGTGCGGTCACATCGCAATTGTAAAAAATCTTATTTTCTGGGTGCTAATTTGCTAAATAGTAAATTTGTAGCGTGCTCTTCATATCTGAGAGTCGAATAGAACCATCAAATAGTGCTGTCACATAGCATTTTTAAACATTCAAAATTTTTGGCTGCTAAAAAGTACATTTGGGGCCTGCGGTGCACTTCATATCTGAGAGTCAAATAGAACCGTCCAATATTGTGCTTACATTGCAGTTGTAAAAATTCGAATTCTTTAGGTTCTAAAAAGTCAATTTGATGCCTGCACTTCATATCTGAGAGTCAAATAGAACCGTCAAATACTGTATTTATAGCGCACTTTGAAAAATTCCAATTTCTTTGCTCCTAAGAAGTATATTTGGGGCGATCTCTTCATATCTGAGAGTCAAATAGAACCATCAAATACTGTGGTTACAGCGCAGTTTGACCAAGTCTAAATAATACATTTGCGGCCTGCACTTCATATCTGATAGTCAAATATAACCGTCAAATACAAATATAACAATATTGTAATTCTGGGGCAACACCCTCACAAGTCAAACTGAGAGGTCAGTTTATAGGGAAAACTGTTGCCTGGATACGATTCTAAAACAATTTCCATATGTCCTTGCAGACTTTACATGCTGGAAAAACACAGGTGCCAACTGCTGTGGCTTTCTGCAGTGTGCAGACCGGCAAGGAAGGCAGGGTGGAAGATGATGTGGAGGATGATGAGGTCCTAGACCCCACATGGAATCAAGGTCATGCGAGTGACATGTGCAGTTTGGAGGAAGAGGCGCTGGGTGCACAGAGGCACCAGCACAGCATAAGAGGGATAAAAGGAACCATAAGAGTTTTAACGAGCTATTCAAGGTTTCGCAGTCCAGTGACTGGGACCCAGACACTGTTTGGGCGGCGGTCGGACGACTGGTACCCAGTATTCCTGATGTTGAAGTTAGGAGTCACAGTGTGGAATGGATTAGCAGGGTCTGGTGCAGGGTAACTGCATGCCCCCTGGTGTTGAGCACCAGCGTTTGTGCGGCCACATGCCAAGACCCTGATGCAGCTTCAGTAAAACGAGTACTGGATACCAGAAGCCATCACCAGACTGATCCGCAACTTGGAACAGGATGTGACATTCACTGTAACGGCTGTGCGCACTTTCAGTGTTCTCACCCTGCTGCTTGCCTGTCTGCACTGCAGCATAACTTTGGCCTTCCCGCTCACCGCCTCATATGCGACATGCCCACAAGGTGGAACTCCACCATACACATGCTGGAGAGACTGTGCGAGCAGCAGCAGCCGATAGTGGAGTTTCAGCTGCAGCACGCACGGGTCAGTCGCTATGCACCAGACTTGCCCTCCAATTGATCAGAGTTAAAGGATTTCAAGTGGACTCATTACAATTACAGGGCCTCTAAACTTGGCTTGATGGGAGTTGAGCCAGTTCTGGGTGGCCCTTGTGATGCGGCATGCCCACTCCACATGGGAGTTCTTCTCCCCTTTCCAGGTATCCCTAAACATTCAGCGGTAATGCTCGGGGGTGACCGCATACCGGGTCAGGAGGATTTAATAAAGGGATAGTCTCTGATCTGCTCTTCTGGTACAGCTCAGTAAATATCCACTGCCTTCCCCACTAGCTTGCTGGCCAGGATGGTGACCCAGTTGCTGGAGTCCACGTCTTGGAGTAGGCACTGGTGCTCAAAGTCTTGTAAATGTCATCAATGCCTTCTTCTGCTTCCTTGAAGTTTTTGAAGGCATTGTATGGTAGCTTGTGGGCCAGGGTGGTTGTGCTTCCTGGTGCCCTCTGCTCCCTTCTTCCTTCATCTGGGTTCATGGAAGTTGCCCTCTGTCTATTGTCAAGGACATAGGCTTGCACCTCCAAAAGGTCCTGCTGACAATCTCCTCTGAGGGTGGCTCTCAGTAATATGCCAGGCACTGTTACACCTCCTTGCGCACTTCCTCCTCATCTCCGGCCCCTGGCTGGGGTTCGTTGCCTCACTGCATGCCTGGTCGTCCTCCATGAGTGCAGCAGTCAATTCAGCCTTGTTACCCCCACCAGGCGTTATTCCTCTGGCTCCACAGAAGTCCTGCAGTGTAGGTTGCTTTAGAGCACTGTAGTCCATGGGTTTGTTGTCAGGGACATGGGATCCCGCCGCTTGCCACCAATTGAAGCGGGACCTGGGTAACCGATGGTTATCCCCTTTGATTAGAATAGATCAGACCCATTTCCCCAGTAACTGGATGGGACACAGTTCCAGGATACAACGTTTGACAGTCTTTATTTGGGTACACAGATTTGCCTCCTGTTGACCCCTCCTCCTACTCATCCTCTTCTCCTCTTCCCTACCACCTCCTCATCCAGTCAGTTTAACACCTTCACCACCAACTTCAGCACAGCCAGGGGGAAACAACAGCAGGCTGTTTTAAAACTCATATGTTTGGGGGAAAAACCCTACACCGCGCAGGAGCTGTGGACGGGCATGGAACAACAGACCGATGAGTGGTTGTTGCCACTGAGCCTCAAGCCTGGCATGGTGGTGTGCGATAATGGGCAAAATCTCGTAGCAGCTCTGGGCCTAGCCAATTTGACGAACATCCCTTGCCTGGCGCATGTGCTGAATTTGGTGGTGCAGAAATTCCTGAAAAATTACCCAGATATATCAGAGCTGCTGCAGAAAGTGTGGGCCGTCTGTGCGTGCTTTTGGCGTTCTCACCCTGCTGCTGCTCGCATGTCTGCGGTGCAGCGTAACTTCAGCCTTCCCGCTCACAGCCTCATGAGACTGTGTGAACAGCAGCAGGCGTAAGTAGAGTTTCAGCTGCAGCACGCACGGGTCAGTCGCTCTGTGGAACAGAGTTTTCTTTTTTTTTTATATGTCTCAATATTTTGGGGGCTACCCCAATTAAAATATATATATATATATATATATACATATATATATATATAAAATAAACTATGTACCCAATAGCAGAGGCTTGTGAAGGCCTTTTCTCCATGCATCAGGAGTTGAGCATTTCTCCATGCATCAGGACTTCAAGAAATGCACCGCAGGCCGCAAATGTTTCTTTTTTATATGTCCCAATATTTTGGGGGCTACCCCAATTAAAAAATATATTTATATATAAATAAACAGTGTTGGCTACATCCTCCTCCTCCTCCACCGCCGCTTCCACCTACACCGCCACGGTCACCGCCTCCACAACCTATGGGTCACTTAGTATAAACTATGTACACAATAGCAGAGGCTTGTGAAGGCCTTTTCTCCATGCATCAGGAGTTGAGCTCAGTTTGAACAATGAAAGAGAATACCCTGCACTCCAACCCTCTCTCAAATGGATAATTCTGGTGATCCTCCTGACAGCAATGCTTTAGATTTTGATTTATGTTCTTCCAAAGCTAAAAGATTCCATCTAGTGCTATTTTATGGCTCAGCTGTATTTTTAATTTCTATGTTATTTTAAGTGATTTCCCTATCCACATTTGTTTGCAGGGCACTTGTCCTACTCTTAACCCCATTTTACTTCCTTTTGCAGCCGTCTAGCCCTTTCCAGGAGTTTTTTAGAGCCATTTTTGTGTCCAAAAGTTCGTGTCCCCATTGACAAATTCGTCAAATTCGGGATCAAGTTCAATCCCGAACCAGGACTTTTTTCAAAATTAGGCGGAACCCACCGGACCCGAACATCCAGGTGTCCTTTTAACTCTAAATATAAGAACTCTGAGAATGGAATTCGGTAAATCCCTCAAAATAGTCTCATATTCTTTGTTAATTATTGCAATGCAATAACTTGGCTCTCCTGAAGTTAAAAGGTTCATTTAGACATTGACTCCGTGTTCACTGTGCCCTGAGAAGTATCAGCTTTACTTCACTAACAAGGCACAAAGAATGATAAAACGATAGTCTGGGATTGTTGCATCTCTAGTGCCGAGAGAATTTGCCAACAGTTAGGTTATTGACTGACCGTATGGGTGGGATCAGTCTAATATGTTTCGGAATATGTTCTCTCTGTAATGGCACAAGTGAGCTATTTTGAGACCTGAGCGGGAATTTACCGAAGTGTAAGCTACTTGTCCATTCTCAGAGTTCTCGTATTCTTTGAGTTTGTTAAATGGTAATTGTATTTTTTTTTTGTTTTTATACTTCATCAGCAGTAACCATAGGTTAACAGCAAATGACAACAAACTGTATGTATACATCTGGCTTCAAAATTTACAAAATGCCCTCCTCCTCCAAACAAGATTGAAGCATTGGTGTGTCTTTAGGCATTTAAACATCAGCACTTACCTTGAAGGCCATTTTAATTGTGTCTTCTGTATTAGCAGGATTGCAAAGAATTGCTATGCCAATTACATACTCTCTGAAATCTATGGTACCATCTTTGTTCTGCAGGAAAACACAACTAATTAGAATATATTGAAGAAGCAAATATGCCTGGTAGTTGAGATGACTTTAGATTTTCTAAAATGCACAAGGTTATTCACTGAAGTGTAAATTGTTAGTAATTCAAAGTGAATTCCAAATGTAATCCCAAATAGTTGAATTGGCAAAATTATCCAGGATCACCTATGACTATTATGAAAAAAAAAGAAATTCACTTTCAATTTACATTGAATTCACACTACATTGCATGAGCCGGACACATAAAATGTGTGTGCTTGTGTGTGTAATGTTGTGTACCTTGGACTGCACTCCAATACTGCCTATCAATACATGTAGGTCATTTTGTGTTTGCACTTTCTGTGCCTCTTTTGTTCTATCTTTATGAAGAAATAATAAAAATGATTTACTACAGATTGGTGAGTCATAATAAAAAAAAAATCATATTCATGGGAATATATTTAAGTGTCTGATCATTCCCTTGTGAATGCCAATAGTGTGGAATGTGGTCTTTTTTAAGATTTTAGTATATATAAATAAATATATAAAGTGAGAAACAGACTTCAGTGCTGAACAGTTCTTTTTGAAGTTTTCCAGGGTCAAGCCACAAGAGAAATAACATTTAGAAAAATATTTCTAAAAAAATTAATTATTTTATTTGTAATTTCTTTTTTTTTACATTATTTTTTTTTTTTTCAAATTTGACAATTTTTATTGTTTTGTCATTCATCAGAAACTTGAGGGTACAGAAAAAAGAAGAGGGGAGGGTAGGGGAGGGGAAAGGTTGCAATTCCATGAAGGGTTTGTACAAGGTGTTTGTTACAAACAGTCTCTTGAGTCACAGTTGTAGCAGTGCATATATTACCATTAAACAATATTTTACAATTGGTATTTGTACATTCCATATCTGTGAATTGAATGAGAGGGTTAGGGCCTGTCCTAATGCTTTGGTAGTAATATTTGCCATGTCTTCTCAGGGGGGGGTCTGAAATGTGCCGGGGGTTTCATAAGGGTTATTCAAGCTACCAGTTGGGTTCACCTTATGGTCTCTTTTGATGTTTGGAGTGGTCGTACTCCTTGTCATCAGTTTATCTAACATTCCTGTGTGATGAAGTATTCTTTGATGGGGGTTCGGTCTTTGTGTGGGCCCTGATTTGGTCGTGAGGTCTTCTCACGGCAGGCGGTTCCCTGTTGTATCGCCTTTGTATGTTTCCCATTTGTCCCATGCTATTTCCCAGTATCTTCTGTACTTTTTATGGGGTTTGTTGGGAGGCGTGTTTTGCCGCCTCATTGTGGTTTCGAATTGGCCAGATTGGCTTATGTGTTGTATGCACATGGAGATGGAGGGTATCGTTTGTGATAGCCAGTTCTGTGCTAGGGCACCCAGGGCTGCTATATTTATATGGAATATAAGATATCTGTCTGGTTTGGGTAACGACTCAGGGATGTCGAAGAGCACGTAGTGTTCCAAATTATGTGGTAAGGTGCGCCCTGTGCTGTCTTTGATAAGTTTGGTTATGTCTTTCCAGTATTGTTGTAGGCGTGGGCAAGTCCACCATATGTGTGCCATTGTCCCTGTGCCTGATTTGCATCTCCAGCAGTGTATTGGGAGAGCTTGGTTATATTTGTGTAGCCTTATGGGCTTGAGATACCATCTATATAAGAGTTTTTTGGCGAGCTCTATATGTTTTGAGCATAAAGAGAAAGTTTTGGGGGTTAAGATCATGTGTTCCCATTCTGGTTCAGTGAATGTTTTGTGGATCTCTTTTTCCCATGCGTTGATAAAGTTGTGTTCGTGCAGTTTGCATTTTGTGGGTAGTGTTGTGTAGATAGAGGATATGATTTTCTGAGGTGGTGTGGAGCTGGTGTACATTTCCTCGAATACCGTCATCTTTTGTGCCTTAATGTTAATTGCTTTCTCCTGAAATTGTGTGCGTAGCCATGAGTCTAATTGGCGATATGAATAATGTGCCACTATTGGTAACTTGTGGGAGTCTTGTAATGTGGCAAAGGTTGTTAGACCCGTGTTAGTGATTATCTGGTGTAGGAATTATATGCCATGTCTTTCCCATATTCTGTAGTTAAAATCCGGGATAATGTGCGCTAATGACTTAAGTGGCATGGCTTTGGAGATGAGCGAATCATTTGTTAGGGTAGGTCGGGTCCCATCCCATATTTTTAGTGATAATGTTGTGGTCGGTAGGCAGTCTTGCAATTGCGGCCGTTTATGTTTTGGTATCCACACTAAATTGTCAGTGCTAGCATTATTGGCCCATTCTGCTTCTAGGTGCTTCCATTGTGGTGCGTGTGTACCTGGTCTTGCTTGGATGATGCTGCTTAGTATGGTTGCATGGTAATACTGTTTGAGATTTGGCATATTCATGCCCCCTTCTTTGAATGGCATTTGCAATACCTTTAGGGCTATACGTGCTCTTTTGTCATTCCATACAAATCTGGTTACCCAGCGTTGGATTGTGGTAAAATAAGTGGAGGGTATATGAATCATTAGGGATCTGAATAGGTATAATAACTTGGGGAGGATTATCATTTTGACTGCTGCTATGCGGCCTGACCAAGATATGAATGATGTTTTCCAATCTTGTAGCTGTTTTTTTATTTCTATACTTAGCTTGCCGTAGTTGGCGTTAAATAGTGCGGTATGTGATTTTGTGAAGCGTATACCTAGGAATGTGATGTAGTCGGTTCTCCAGTTGTATATGTAGGTGTTCTTTAGTCTATGGGTGATGACTGGAGGAAGTCCTTTGCACAGGACTTGCGTCTTGGATATATTCAGTTTGTAGTAGGACATTTTACTGTAGTTTTCTAGTATGGAGTGGAAGTGTGGTAGAGAGGCTTCTGGGTCTTGTATCGTCAATAGTATGTCGTCTGCGAATAGTGTGAGTTTATGTTCTTTGCTTTTTGTTTTGATGCCCAGGATTGATGGTTGTTGTCTAATGAGGGTTGTAAGGGGTTCTAGCGCTAGGACATATAACAGGGGTGAGAGGGGGCATCCCTGTCTGGTTCCGTTCGTGATTCTGAACGGGTCTGAGAGGAATCCTGCGTTGGTGATTCTGGCGGTAGGGTTACTATAAAGTGCCTGTAGAGTGTTCATGAACGCTGATGGGAATTCGAATTTCGCTAAGGTCGCTCTGAGAAAGTCCCAGTTCAGCCTATCGAAAGCCTTTTCGGCATCTAGTGACATGAATAGGCATCCGGTTTTTCGTTTGTGTAAGCTGTATAGTATATCTAAAACCTTCCTAGTGCTGTCCGTGCCCTGCCTTCCTTTTACAAAGCCGACCTGGTCTTCATGCACTAGATCTGGAAGTATGGTGGCTAATCTATTAGAGTATATTTTTGCCAGTAATTTAACGTCTGTGTTGAGAAGTGAAATTGGGTGTAGGTTCTGTCCTTTGTCTGGTATTTTCCCCGGTTTGGGCAATGTGGCCACATGGGCTGTAAGCATTTCCTGTGGGATTGTCCCTGTATGAATTATGTACTGAAATGTTTGTCTCATGTGAGTAATGAGTATAGGTGCAAAGGACTTGTAATATTGGTTTGTGAATCCGTCTGGGCCTGGGGATTTCCCTGTAGGTAGTCTGGTGATAGCGTCTTTCAGTTCAGTTGTCGAGATTTGTTCAGACAGTTTGTTTTTTTGTTCGTTTGTCAGGGTTGGCAGTGGTATCCGCTGTAGGTACCCCTCAATGTCTGAAATGGTTGGTTGGTATAGGGTTTTGTCTTCCCTTAAATTATAGAGGGTGCTATAAAAGGTCACTAGTTCCTTATTCATGTCTTGTGGGTTCCAGAGTTTATGGTTATCTTTTGTGAGGATGTATGGGATCTTAGCATTAGATTGCTTTTTGAGTAGCATGTTGGCCAGTAGTTTGCTAGCTTTGTTCCCTTTCGCATAGTGGTTCATCTTAAATTTTTTCAGAGTGTATGCCGTTTTTTGGAATTGGTGTTCATTAATTTTGGTGGTTATGGTTTGGATTTCCGTCAGGAGATCCTGTTGTTTTGTTTGGTAGTAAGTTTAGGTGGTATCTCTTAGCTGTATGAGCAGTTTCATAAGTGTTGCTCGCTTTTGCTTATTGAGATATGATGCTCTGCGGATCATTAGTCCCCGTATAACTGGTTTGTGTGCTTGCCATAGGATCGGGGCCGTGATCTGGGGGTCCTCATTAGTAGTAAAGTAATGTTTAAGTTCTTGTTCTACTGTGAGAGTGAATTCTTGGTCGTGGAGCAGTGAGTTGTTCAGTCTCCATGAGCCCTTGCCTTTGTACGTGAATGCGTCAGTGAGTGTCAGTATCACTGGGGCATGGTCAGACCATGTTATGTCACCGTGTGTACATTGATGCGTTTGTGGTAGTCCTGTGCTGGTCACGAAAAAAATGATCTATCCTGGAGTGGGTCTTGTGCACTTGGGAGTAATAAGTGTAGTCCTTATCTCCAGGGTGCAGTGTGCACCACACATCATATAAGTTAAATTGAATTAGCAGTTTGTTAAGTCTGGCGCAGGCCGGCCTGAGAGATGTCAATCTGGGTTTTTTTGCATCTAGTGTAGTGTCCATTTCGGGGTCTAGGATATGATTCAGGTCTCCACAGTATATTAATATGCCTCGTTGTATGTTGCTCACTTTAGTCAGTATCTTTTGTAGGAAGTGCCATTGATTGTCGTTTGGTGCGTAGATGTTGACTATGGTGTATGTGACATCATTGAGGTTACATATTAGTATAAGGTATCTCCCATTGGTGTCTTTGACTATTTTGAGTGGTTCGAATGCAACTGATTTGTGTATTAGAATGCTGACTCCTCTGGATTTGTGGCTATGTGTAGAATGGAATTGGTTTGGGAATTGTTTGAGGTCTATAGATGGTGATTTCTGTCTTTTGAAGTGAGTTTCTTGGAGGCAGATCACATCCGCGTTATGGGTTTTCAGTTCTGTGCACAGTATTTGGCGTTTTGGGGGGGAATTTAGTCCCCGAACATTATGTGAGTATATTTTCATTATGGGATTGGTCTAGTTTGAATTTATCGTCTGTTGGTGGGCAGTATAGTCTAAGGTTTAGTGAGTGCTTGCCTTGGTGTGCCAGCCGTGCTGTGTACTTGGTGAT